TTTATATTCTAACCAATTCAATGTTCAATCAATGTTCAAAAGCAAAATGTTATCTGTTTGACCACAAATGTAATTGAATATTTTACATATGGCATTTTACTCCCTTTTTTTAAATGAGTGTATCTTAAAAACTAATTGATGTAAACAGTTCAAATCAATTCTGTATAGTTTTAAACTGTTTTATGCACGTTTTTCTCATTGACAAGTTTGAGGTTTAAATTTATCATTTTTTTGTATTGAATAAAATATGTAGAATTTTTTTTTAAAAAAAAGTTTTTCTTTTTGTTTATTGCATTTTTGAGATATTTGTGTAGGTACTATTGATTTATTACAAACATAGCCTTCAAGTAGAGAAAGTAAGGATTATGTTGATGTATGGCATATGAAAATGCTCAAAAGAATGACAGCACAGCATGTAAAAATAGAAAGATACTCTGGTGGAACTGTTCTATGGCAGGTCTTAAAGGATGCTAAATCCTGAAGTACCTATGAAAATTACAATGAAAATTCTGTCGTCATTTACTCACCCTCAAGTTGTTTCAAAACTGTATAAGTTTATTTCTTCTGCTGAACACAAAATAAGATATTTTGAAGAATGTCAGTAACCGACAGTTGACCCCATTGACTTCCATAGTAGGAAAAAAAAAATACTATGGAAGAAGTCAACGGGGTCCATCAACTGTTCATTAGCTTAACTGTAGGACTGTTTAAGGTTGCCAAGCAATGCAGCTGTGTTGATCTGTATTTTACACTGGCTTAAATATGACGCATCCAATAAGAGAACCATCATTTTAACTAAATATATTCTAGAAATTGTAATTAGAGAGCTGCCGGCGCCAAACGTGGCCACATAATCTAACAATTCAGCACTGAAATCTACAGCTCATCATGAAGTGCATCATGCGTTTAGTGTAAAAATGTCTGTGGGTTTCAAGCGTCATGCCCTGTGAGTCTGCTGCAGTGAGACACATTTCCTGTTAAGACAAGCTCGAACGCAGCAGCTACTGTCTGCGGCTCTTACACTGGAGACTCTCACAGCTGATGTGTGTGAACATCCTCTGAGCACAAGTTGAATGTTTGGTTTGATAAAAGGCAACTCTGATGCGATTGCTATGCGGTTCATTTGAATAAGTGTGAACGCTGCCACCGCTGAAAAGATGAGCCTCAGAACAAACTCTGGTGCGGATCAAATGACATATGAACGCAACATGGACCGAAGACATGAAAACGAACCAAAAACAGGACATGACGTCACAAGACGTGACCCTAGAAAGGACAGAATGATGAAGCACACCTGTTTCTCATGCAACAGGACATCATGACTTTTGCCTAAACATACACGCCACTTTCAAGTAAAGTGGCGTGTTTTTTCTACGCATTTTGAGCTATCCGCGTGTATGTCTACGCCATTAACGTCCGAGTGATTCCGCGTGTCTGTACACGCCGTCAAATGTCCGCGCGAAATGAAGCAAAATGTAGATCTACATCTGGCGAGCGATCTCTTTTTTTTCCCTAGGATGGTGAGGGAACAGTCATATGGCGCTTTTCCACTGCATAGTACGGTACGGTTCGGCTCAGTACGCTTCGACTCGGCGCGGAACAGTTCGGATCGCTTTGCGTTTCCACTGCAGTAGTACCCCTTCAAAGTGTGTGGGACTGATCGTTATTTGCGCGCGCCTCTACTGCCATGACATCATCTTAAAAGCGCCACATTTTCAAACCCACAACACAGGAACAATAGAGACTATCGATGGGATGGTGTTCCTGATTCTCGGTATGTGGTTGTTTTTAACTGCTAGACGGAAAAATGTGTTTAAAATGAGGCTTATGGCAGCAAAACAAAAATACTGCTAAAAAAAGTGTCTCGTGTCGCAAATCCAATGACGCTAGTAGTGACGCTGGTAGTGACGATTCTGTCTGACCAATCAGTGATCTGCAGTGTTTCACATCACATTTTAGTACCGTACGGTACCATGCAGTGGAAAAGCACCACAAGTGAGACGAACCGAACCGAACCGTACCGTACTATGCAGTGGAAAAGCACCTATAAATGCCATTAACCCCAGTGACGGTTAGGTTTAGGGACGGGGTTGAGGTAAGTCATATATTTATATATATAGTAATAACGTTAAGTGAACCTCGTTCATAAACACGCTGAAAAGCGATTATGCGTCTTGATAGCACGCCAAAAATGGAAATATACGAATTGGCGTGTCATACACACGCTACTTCATGAGATCAGTCTGCATCATAATCAGACTGATTATGGTTTTGATTGATTCATTTCAGTTGTAAAAATCATTTGCTATATTAACTTCCTTTGTGTGTGACGGAGGTGTTCCTGGTGGTTTTTTGACTCCTTTACACATTTTATACTCTGGTGGTCACAAGTTAAAAGGTGTCATGATGCCAAGATTTATTTATTTATTTATTTATTTATTTTTGTCTGGACCAGACAAAGTGAACTGCAATTGTCAACACACCCTAAATGTTATAAAAATCTGCCAGTCTCCTGCAGGATGGTTCGATGAAGAAGATTAACAAACCGTACATAGAAGGAGAATCGGTTGAAATTATCAAATTTATGAGATAAGGGCACAAGAACAATTGAAAATGGCAACAATAGTGACAATAATATTTGCGATATTATAATATTTATAATTTATTTCTATGTCCGGACATTCCAAGTTAAAGGCCCGTTAATTAAAGAATAATTGGAGAAACAAATATATATATATAAATATGTAACAAATAATACATATAATTTCTTTGGTAATGCAGATCTGCAGATGGATGATGTATTTCGTTCATGAACACATGGTGGAACATGATAACGGCTGATATGCCGATAATTTAAACCATGTTGATAATGGTCAATGACGATATGGTCACCATATATATATCATGTATCCCTAAGAACCCAAACATCACAGTGTGCTGACATCAGTCCGACAGAAGTGTGTTTGCAGAGGGGTTCCCATGTGAAAGCAAACAAAAAGGTCACCAGGCAGTTAAGCTTGTTTTTGTGCAGCAGATGGACTGAGCTCTGCTGGAATGACTGCTGTGTGTGGACTACACACACCGCGAGACCGGTTGAACGCGAGCAGCGGAGAGTGGGCAGTGTCCAAGTGCACAAGAATAGTCTTAATTTACCCATCCGGACAACCACATGACTTTCTCTCTTCATTGGAAGCCAAAACTGCAATTTTGAAGAATATCCTGAAATGTTTTGGAATGTATTTCTATTGGCTGAATGGGGACTAGGGCTGTCAAGCTCCAAAAAAAAGCATAACAAAAGTACATACATAACTTAAACTTATGGTACCATATATGACACTTTGCTTACACTATACGATAACTGGGAGGAACTGACCCAAATTTGAGTCTTTATTCACTTAAAAAAAAAGTTGGAATTTGATGCCACATTAGCAAACAGAAGCATTTTATGTGCTCTTCAGTGAATAATTTATATCTATAATATATCAAATATAATACATTTAAGTTTTTCATTTGATGAACAGATTTTATTCACATTTAAACATTCATCAACTCACACATCAGTTGTGGTAAACGGAAGCTCAAGCATGTTCGCTTGACGTGCAAGAACCAATGAGGTTCATTCTCGTGTTACGCATCACGTTTGAGCTTCAGCAAGAACCAATAAGGTTTGTTCTCGTGTGGGCAGGTTCTGTTGAGCTTGATGTTTAAATGCGAATAAAAGCCTAAATTAAATCTGTTCATGATATGAAGTGATCGAGTCTCTTCAGAAAGTTGACTAAACCGCGCTCAAATCATTTTTTTTTTAATCTCTTTTCGAACTTTTTGAAGCGTCACTGTGGTAGTTGCGTTGCTGTCAATGGAGGGACAGAGCGCTCTCGGATTTTCTGCAAAAACATCTTCATTTGTGTCCTGAAGATGAATGAAAGTCTTACGGGTTTGGAACGACATGACATGAGGGTGAGTAATTAATGACAAAATTTTCATTTTTGGGATAACTATACTTTAAGTATCGAAAACAGCAGACAACATTCTATGAAAGCAATTCACCTTTTATGTTCCACTGAAAAAAAATGAGTCATGGAGGTTTGGAACAATTTTTTTTTTGAGGGTGTGTTTTATTGGAGCCGAGACAACATTGCAAAGAAATTGTCTAACATGGTGATGGAAAAAGACAGAACACCAGAGGCTATCTTTCTTTGTGGTCTTACTTTCCCCCCAAAATAAAGCAAATCCATGTTGCCAAAACCTAAAAAGCATTGCCTAGCAACAATGGGTTGCAAAATCATTCATATTCTACAGCCATGCTCTCTGTTAGCAACACAAACACCAGATTCTGTTCTTTTAGATCTGATTCCTACCGATACTGGTGTTCGTTTTTCATTCACTTTAAAGAACCGGTTTATACGAATCCGTAATTCAGGAATCTGACGACAGTGATCTCGCTGATTGTTTACAAACCCCCGAAAAGAACCGACTCATAAGAGTCATTCGTTCGAGAATCGGCTTACACCATCGCGCTATTTGATTTAGATTCACTATAAAGAATCGGCTCAAAAGAATGATTCGCCTGGGAACCGAGACTGATCGCGCTTCAGTGAAAAACAGTGCAGGACAAAAACCGTCAAAAATGTAACGCCAGGAAAATAATTCGGATTTGGCATTTAAAAACAAAATCTGCTCTGAATAATAAAGGGTTCGAAGCCTTTCTGGAGAAAAATATCCATCAATATCAACAATACACACTACAATTGCCTACTATTTCCTGAACATTGCTTTTGAATTGCACTAAAATGGATTTGACTATGGCGGACTTTGAAAACTTAAACCGTTCAGTTATTTGTTATGAAATGTCAAGTGCAAATGCGAGTAAATTCCTGCTTTAGCATACAAGTTGTAAATAACTTTCACTCTGAACTTCAAAACAGATCCGCAGATATATACAATACAGATAACGGTCGTTTCCAGGCAAATTCATGCAGATTGACAGCTGTAAAACTCACTTTTATGTTTTCCAGAGGTCCAGGACTCTTTCGCCAGACTGGGACTGCGAATGATCGCGCGTCCGGCTGATTTTAGCGCGTCCATGATGATGAATACCAGTTTATATGACAATTAATAATCCTGAGAGCGCGATCTTCCGACTGTCCTCTGCCCGGTCGAGCCCGATCCTCTGCCCGCAGGAAAACTTTTCTGACAGCCTGTGATTTTCTTCCTTTTCCGCGGATGATCCCGGGTGGATGTGCGAACATGCTCGCCACGGTGGGCGGGGTTTAGTATGTAAATTAGGCGGATAATGTTCCGTCATGACGCTACCGTGAGTGGGCGGAAGGCGGGGCTCGAGTATGCAAATTAGGACTTCGCTCGACGTCTGCTGTGTGTACATAAATAGAGTGCCGTTTGACATGCATGATTGAAACGATGGATTCTACTAAAGGTGTAATACCACAAATAATCCATATTTTTCAAAATATTTTCTTTTGTGTTCAGCGCAAAGAAGGAAACTCCTACAGGTTTGGAACAACTTGAGGGTGAAAAAAATATGACAGTTTAAATTGTTGGGTGAACTATCCCTTTAAATGATAAACTTTTCAGTTACTTCATAGAGGTAAAAAATAATTATTGGAGATTGTGATTACAAGGACACACAAAAGTAAAGAACACAAAGTATACACTGAATAAAACAATAACACATTACAATAGAATAGTGAAGAATACACATACGTACATTAGGAAGCATGTTGCAGTTATAAGCGAGAATGTTTTTATTTATTTTGCTTTGTATTAGCTATTATATTAGTGCAAAAAACTCTATTATTATTAATAGCATAACAAATAAGTCGAAGAATTTAAGTAAAACATTGCCAATTCTATTAGATTCAGTCATAAAGGATGTTTTAGGTGCTAATATGTATATTTTAGGTGCTAATATGTACATTTTAGGTGTTAATATATACATTTTGGTTGCTAATATGTACACTTTAGGTGTTAATGTGTACATTTCAGGGTCTAATATGTCCATTTTAGGTGTTAATATGTACATTTTAAGTGTTAATGTGTACATATGTCTAATATTTTTTAGGTGCTAATGTACAGTTTAGGTACTAATATGTATATTTTAGGTGCTAATATGTACATTTTAGGTGTTAATGTGTACATTTTAGGTGCTAATATGTACATTTTAGGTGTTAATATGTATATTTTAGGTGCTAATATGTACATTTTAAGTGTTAATCTGTACATTTCAGGAGCTAATATGTCCATTTTAGGTGCTAACGTACATTTTAGGTGTTAATATGTACCATTAAGGTACCAATATGCAGCCTTTGGGTACAAAAGTGTACCTTTTGAAAAGGTACCGCCCCAGAGACAGCTTTTGTACCTTTTTTTTGAGAGTGAGTGTGAAATGAGTGATGTAGTTGTCTTTCTCTCCACTCAGCCCTGTCTAGACTCATCCACATGAGTGCTTCTACACTGACAGCCCATCACCACATGGGAAAGAGATGCAAAAAGTGGAAATAAAGAAACTGAAAGGGGGAAAACAGGCATTCAATGGGGTTCCTCTGAGAAAGAGGTGATTTTGCTTATCATTGGGCTTTCGTCAGTTCAGGGTAACATCTTACAACCGGAATGTGCTATAGCAAACACAGACCGGGGCATCAGGTTCTGCCCCGTGACCCACTAAAACCTGTTCAGTTTCATGTGAAGACACACATTAAATACCATTGACCAGGGTCTCCCAGCACAACAACAGGTGAGTCACTCCATTCAGCTGATTAACAAGAGAAAGCCAGATCTTCAGCATTCCTGAGCAAGTATGACAGATTCGTTCATAGTATTACAGAAAAAACATGTGCACCTGTTAAGGCAAGCATGCAGATGAGGTTTTTCAGGGAGGCTGAATGTGAAACAGTGCATCCAATGGGGATAATTCACTCTCCCAGTTCATCCTACAACAGTACTGGAACTGGAAGCTCGAGGAACGTGGGTGACATACTAAACGGCTTCTGTACATTATTAATGCCTCCATATGCTGATTAAAGCAACAGTCAGCAGCTCATCTCAGAATATAACAGCTTAATTAGGTCAATAGATAGATGTATACGTAAAGGTCTAGAATTGCAATCTTGAGAACATCTTTAGATAAACAAAGTTATGTGAAAACTGTATTACAAGAGCCCATGTGAAATAGTGCACTGATGCACTGTAGAAAGCGTGGATGTGTGAGAGGAACATAGAAACTGTGCCTGTCTGCATGCATGCTTATAAAAAGAGCTGTGTTTAATATGAAAGCTCTGGTTATTTATTCATGTAATATCCTCTCATGAATGAGAGATGAAGGCTCCACAAGTACAGCGATCGGAGAATCCTTCGGCACCGGATGTTGCAATAGTTCACTAGCAAAATGTATATATAAAACAGTTTTTCAAAATGTTTTGAGATTAAAATGATTCTTAGTGTAATATGTGCTTTATTAATCCCCCCATTATATCTTGTATAATCACTTAAAACCTAAAAACCTCTTAAAATATAAACTCTTAAGGAGTAGTTCACTTTTTTTTTAAAAAAAGTTTGCTGATAATTTACTCACCCCCATGTCATCCAAGATGTCCATGTCTTTCTTTCTTCAGTCGAAAAGAAATTAAGGTTTTTGAAGAAAACATTCCAGGATTTTCTCCATATAATGGACTTCAATGGGGTCCAAACGGTTCAAGGTCCAAATGAGAGTTTCAGTGCAGCTTGAAAGGGCTTTAAACGACACCAGACGATGAATTAGGGTCTTATCTAGAACCCTTCGAGTCATGACTCGAAAAAAGATTCGTTCATTTTGATGAACGAGTTTGAACAGGAGAGTCACGAACGCGCATCGCAGTACAGAGCAAGGCGAGCATTTGTGCTTATAAAACGTAAAAAAAATTTATTTAATTTTTAAATGAGTGATCGTTTCGCTAGATAAGACCCTTATTCATCATCTAGTATCGTTTAAAGCCCTTTGAAGCTGCACTGAAACTCTCTTTTGGACCTTGAACCGTTTGGACCCCATTGAAGTGCATTATATGGAGAAAAATCCTGGAATGTTTTCATCAAAAACTTCAACTGAAGAAAGAAAGACATGGACATCTTGGATGACATGGGGGTGAGTAAATTATCAGCAAAAGTTTTTTTAAAAAGTGTACTCCTTTAAGCTATAAACATGTTTTGTTTTGACGTTGAAAGTGATTCGAGTGTTAATGCAAGATGAAATGACCCTTTAGACCACCCGATATTAACATCTATATTACTGACATTAAAACACATTTGGAAATGCAATAAGAACTATTCAATTTTAATATACATAAATGTTTAACTTAATTTGAACTCTTATAAAATAACTTCTAAATTCATGTAGATGAAATCATAGCATTCAGAGCAAAACAATTGTTTCTCATTTTTACCGAATTAACCCTTTCCTCAGCTTCAATTAACCACAATTATAATTTGTTTTTCTTTGCTATCAGAACACCTTATTTATATATAGTGCACGCAAGCAATAACAAGCAACGCACAAAAATCACAAGAGAAACTCGGATGCCAGAAAAAAAAAAATGTTTTATTACTTGAAACCTCACAGAGACCTCACAACGAGTGCAGCCGAGGTCTGGCTGAACAACAGACAGAAAGCGAGAAGTGACAGCGGGCAAAGAAAACAAAGCAAATGTCTTTTTCCCCCTCTTTCAGTTATACCACTTGGACATCGCAAACGTTACCACTTCCTCCATCAAATCATTATTTTAAAAATCACAGACACCTAAAACAACAACCATCTCAGAGCACTACAATACCACATAGGACTGACTCTGGCTAAACCCCGCCCCCCTCCCACCAACCCATCGTTAACCAAACTAACACAGTAACCATCTCTCCATCCCTCTGAAACGACCCGCACCAGAACTCGCTGCAGACCGCCTGGAGGAACTGGCTTCCTCCAGTTGGCAAAATCTATTCGCGTTAACACAAATCTGAGGGTTTTTTCCAAAAGGTGGGTCGGCTCGGGACGTTCTCCCTTCAGCCCGATAATACTTCATGCTTAGATGACATCTGGATCCATTAACACAGAAAATGTGAAGATGGCCCAATGAAAACCTTTCCACGAGTGTAACAGGTTTTAAAGCCACCAACCTTTCTGAAAGCAACAGCGCCATCAAGTGGCACAACCAAGTATTTCTCTGAAAACAATACACAAACTATATAATAATAATCATATTAATAATAATAATACACTTCTGTAGCTTCCCATCATTGGACCAGCCAGTAACCTGATGGATCTGAAACACTTTTCCTTTTCAACAAAAACTGCAGTCCTACTACTACTTTAGTTGGCACTGGACTACACTAGCTTCCGTCTGATACTGAAAGATGGTCAATCAATACAATAAAGAAAACCAGGAGGGGAAAGTATCCTGCGTTTCATACTTGACGCATTCCCTTGCGAGCTCGTTGAAGTCGACAGTGCATTAGTGCCACGCTGGATAAATAAATAAATGTAAACAAATGACCGAATTCACAAGCGCGGACCAAAACGGGAGCAGCGACGTCCCGCCAATGGGCTGGTGATCCGTTTGCAAGCGTTTGGAGACCAAAAAGAGATGCGTTTGAGGCATGACGTGGTAGAGGGAGGGAAGAGATCTTTCTGTTCCACCAATGAGGTCCCATAAGAAGGCACTGATTATCTGTAATTGGTGAATTACGCTGCTGGACTGTGTTTGTGGCGCACAGTTCGTCACTTTGTACCATGAGGAAGAACTGAACAGCAATCCACAGATTAAGCTTCGGTTCGTCATACGAGTCCTAAAAGATGTTTTGCATTGTTTCTGGGACGTTCGTTGGAGACGTTTTGTTATTTGAACATTGCGTTACATTCTTGTCATATTAGATGGAGACATTCTTGAGTAAAAATCTTCGTGCCTCTGATATGGGGTAGAGCACCTGGGACAACGAATCTTACACTTGCCCTGCTTTGTACAACCCCCTCCCTCCCCCCTCCCCCCAAAAAAAACAAAAACAGTAAAATCAAGGCCGAAATCCAGGAGGCCGGTCTCTGAATGGACTGAGGGAAGATACTCACCAACTTCTGTGAGGTTTCCAGACACTTACGAGAGAAAAGTAACGCCAGATCCTGCTCAATGTGTGATGTCCCTTAAAAGTCTTCTTTTTTGTCTTTTGTATTTTTACTACAACAAATACAGTCACACAATACAATATCCTTCTGACCAGGCAAGAAGCTGTAGTATTAGAAGACGAAAAAACAAAAAAGCAATTTGAGCCACAGACATGCCAAAAATGAATCTGAATCTGGGCTTATGGAGGAAAAAAACAACCAGAGAAGACCGTGTGTGTGTGTGTGTGTGTGTGTGTGTGTGATTGCAAGAATGATTGGAGGTCTGTTGTGGTGGGAAACAAGCATTCATTTTTTCATGGGCTGGTAAACAGATGCATTGGGGTCCAGTCCTGATGGACTGGTGTCCATGAACTTGGAGGAGTAGTGGGGCGTGACGGGGGTCATGCTGCCCGTATCTGCTGAATACACCACGCTGGGCATGACGGCCATCACCTCGGCTATCTTCTGCTTCAGGTCTTTAATCTCCTGGTCTTTCTGCAGAATCTGACCTAAAGGAACACAAATCCAGACGGGATCAACTTTTAGTCATTTTCCATGATTGGGATTGATGTATTCTATAAAGATATACACCAGCTTTCCAAACTTTTGAGATCTTGAGATTTTTTTGTTTTGTGTTCTCATATGCTCACCAAGGCTGCATTTATTTGATCGAAATACAGTAGAAACATTAATATTGTGAAATATTATCTATTTAAATGTATTTTTAAACAAACGCAAAGCTGAATTTTCAGCATCATTACTCAAGTCTTAAGTGTCGCATGGTTCTTCAGAAATTATTCTAATGTGATGATTTGCTGCTCAAGAAACATATCCGATTATTACGAATGTTAAAAACAGTTCATATTTTTGAGGAAACTGATTTTTTGATGAATAGAAATACAAAAGCACAGCATTTTATTTTAAATAGAATTTTTTACTGTCACATTGATCAATTCAATGAGTCCTTATTGGTTATAGCTATTCATTTCTTAAAGAAAAAAAAAAACATGTTTAAGTGCCTGTAAAGGCAATTCTACAAAAAAATTCTAAACACATTATAAATGTTACAAATGTATTGCTAAAACATATTACAAAGACTGTGAACTGTGAAGTACTGAAACGTGGAGTTAGGCCGTTAAACATTTTTTCACAATTGCTATTTCCCAGATTTTTTGGGCGGGGCTAAAACGGGGCTCGATGATACACTGAAGCCCCTGAGCTCGTGGACACGCCCCTACTTGATGACGCATTGAGGCTGGCCCCTCCCCTAACAATAGAGGACATTCGCATCAGTCCGCTGCTCAATCGCGACTCGAGTTACTGTCAGTTACTACAACCTACAGTTTTCTAGCTAGCTATCCCTTTGACATGAAAATGCATAGGCTACCTGGATGCGATCATGTACAAAACCGATCTGAGTCTTTATTTAATTTTCCTAAAAACGATCACATCTTTGTGTAGAGCCAACCTTGATGGAGAGCTGAGGATCACCGCCAACACCCGCCTATGTAATGATCATTTTACACGGGATCGTTTTATAAACTTTCCTCAACTGGGATTCACTGATAATCCGCTGTTACTGGTGAACGGGGCCGAACGACTATCTCCCATCTCAGCCTTCATCCTCCCGTCTTGAAAGCAGTTTCAGCTAATATCACTGTCGGCAGCTTTCCCGCAAGGGGCGTGGTTTCAGTGCAGCCAGAGGACACGCCCCCAGCATTTGAGAGCAGCTCATTTTTTCAAGATTTTGATAGTTTATTTGATGTACTTGCTGGCTTTTTTATAATTCAAATTTGGCTGGGTGGATGGCTAATAACACATTTTTCTGTGGTGTGACAAACTCAGAACACATACTAAATTTTGACTTTACAAGGACTTGAATGATCCCAAATTTCTGAATGGTACTGTAGTTCTGGGAAGAAAAAAGTTTTATGGGTTTTCATTACAAATGACACCTGGTTTTCATCACACCTGTTATATTAGGTACAAAACAAAGTGGTGCCCAAATGTAAAAGCTAATCTTTGAGTTCCCTGGACAGGGCGTGATGCAAACCTTGTGCGATCTCCAGCTGTCTCTTAGCGTCTCCGAGGGCAGAGAAGAGGTCCAGCTTAATTCGGGTCTCAGCACTGAGGCTATTTTCCAGGTGCTGGGTTTTATCCTGCATCGCTGACAGCGCCGACATCAGAACCTCTGTGTCCTTCTCGTTTTCCTTATATTTATGTAGTTCCTAGACAGACAGAAGGAGACATTAAATGTCTATTTTAGTACTTCTTCTGAATTTCCAGAAGAATCAGATTTTGAAAGAGATTTAGAGCAAATATAACATGAAAATCTTCTCACTTGAACTTTGAGCTCCAGCTCTCTGATTTGATCTTCTTTCACCTTGATGTCAAGCGTGAGTTTCTTACACTCTGTCTCAAGCTCAGCAATCCTCCTCCTCAGAGACTCTGTGCACTCTCCTCTGAAACACACACAAATACAGATGCACATTAGTTCACATACACACACAGAAAAAGTTGTATAGAAAGGAAATAGAATAAAACGAAACAGAACTGACAAGGGAAAAGGGAAAATCATTTGAGAAACAGACGGGCTGATGGCAAAGCTATAAAAACAGTCAGAAAAAACAGAATGAAAAAAAAAAGGAAAATATTATGAAAAAGTATGCATGATATGTATGTACACTACCGTTCAAAACTTCGGAGTCAACAAGATTTTATTAAGCAAAAATGATCAGCAGTTTGAAAAATTAATTTTTCGAACTTTCTATTCTATTTAAAAACAATCCTGAAAAAATGCATCACGGTTTCCACAATGATTTCTGAAGGATCATGTGACACTGAAGAAGACTGGAGTAATGATGCTGAAAGCAAAGCTTTGCCTTTATTAATAAACATAGGCTGTAGTTCCTTTATTTTATAGGAACTACATTCAAACAGTTGTTTTTAATTATTATAATACTAATACACATATTACAGTTTTATTAGTTTTTTCATATTTTAGTTTTATATTACAGTTTTTACTCTATTTTCCATAAAATAAATGCAGCATTGGTGATTATAAGAAACTTCTAAAACACTAAAAATCTTGCCGACCCCAAACATTTGAATGGTAGTGTATATTCTTCATCTCCATTCCATTTGATTAGGATTTTTTGAATAGTAAGTTCAAAAGAACATTATTTATTTGAAATATGTATTTTTTTGTAAGAATCAAAGACTGTCTCCTTTGATCAATTTAATGCATCCTTGCTGAACAGTAAAAACTATTCATTTCTTAAAAAAAAAAAAAAAAACTCCAAACCTTTGAACAGTAGCGTATAATGGCATGGAAAGGAGAATGGAATGCATGAGAGTTGCATATATTATGGATTGGATGTTATGGATGATGGGAAGCACCTGGTTGCAGCAGCGAGAGCGACTGCACGGGCCGCCGTGGCCTCCTCCAGCTTCTTGCGTTTCTTTTCCTCTGCTAACAGTTTCTCTGCTGCAGCACGAGCGTCTTGTTCTGCCTTCAGACGCTTCTCCAGCTGTCCCACTGTCTGCTTGTCCTTCTGCTTCGCCTGCACAGCGTTATGAAGTCTGAAGATACACACGAGAGTTTGCATGAATACAGATACACTCTCTTATGGAGCAAACTCAAAGAGGGATGTCTCACTTGTTTTGCAGTAGTTCGTTCTCTTGACGTAGCTGCCCGAGTTCAGAGCGTATGCTGCGTTCAGAGCTGCCCAGAGAGCCCAACTGACTGCGCAGATCCTGTTCGGTCTGTCGGCTGGCCTGCAGATCTGCCTTCAGCTTCTTAACATCCTGCTCCAGCCTAACACACATATACACAGACCAATAAGGGGTCATTATAATAAACATGAACCAGAGAAAAGGTCTCCATTTCAAAACTAGAGGTCGACTGATTGACATGGCCGATTTTTGGCATTTTTTAACGAATCGGCATGGGCTGATTGTGCTGCAAATTAGGCCGATTAATAGGCAGACGCATCTGTGGGCAGCCAAGCGTTGATGTGGAACACGTAAAACTAGTTTTAATGTACTTTTCATCTAAAAGTTTATTTAACAGTCTAGATTTTTGATGTTCTGTTTTGTGTATTTAATATTTACACAAGTAATTTAGTATACAGAATCTTTTTATTTATTTTATTCACGTGCACTGATTGGAGAGGCTTGTGTTGTTCAGTTAATGTTTAATTTAAGCAAATCTCAAAAAAAAAAAATCACTTCATATTAACGGTTAGATTTTATGGGAAAAAAAGAAAGAAAGAAAAGGAAAACTGACCAAACATATCGGCATCATATATTGGCCATCGGCTGCCCTGATTTCTAAATATCGGCATTGGTTAAAGAAAAATCCATATCGGTCAACCTCTACTCAAAACCTATTAGGCTACCTAGATAGACAGCATTGGCGTGCATCCAAACATGCACAAGGCATAACATGCATACAAATGATGCCCAAAAGGCTGCCTAAGGAAGCAAGTAGATGATATAAAAGTAATTATTTTGAGGTAGTTGGTGATTTTCCCCCAGATTTGGAGTTAAAGTGCTCAGCAACATAAAGAGTTTGTGAAACCACAATATTATAATTATATAAGGTATTCAAAAATGGACTGACCTCGCATCCGAATATGCCAACTTCCCAACGATATAGTATGAACAATAGTAAACCAAAGTTTACTTAAGCTGGATTGTGACGCTATTTTCTTCTAGAAACTTTTTTGCATTATTTTCCTGTTCACTGTAAAGCTGCTTTGAAACAATCTGTATTGTAAAAAGCACTATATAAATAAAGGTGAGTTGAGTTGACCAAAGGAGTAATATGTACGAATATTCAGATTTTGAAAAACAGGAGGCGATAAGTACCTAGATAATCTACTATTTCCACGAGATTTCAAAGCACACTTCTTATAGACACTTTACTTGTCCATGAGGCCACAGGAGAGGATTAGCGATAGCGAATGGTGGGAAACTGATGCAATTGATGTTGTAGATCACGTGACAAAGCAAATGTAGTACATCCATCTACATTCATACTATTCAAATACATAGCCTACATACTTTTTTAACAGTTGCGAAGTAAGTTCTCCATCAAATGCAATACCGGTGCTTACTCTGCCAGTAACAATTTCAGATTCCGCTTGTGACCCTAAAGGTGTGGTCACATAAGCAAAATGAAACAAGAGTTCACACAAGTCACATTTAAACCATGTAGCTATTGGTCAATGTGGCAAATTCATGTGAACTTGAACCTAGGGGTGAGCGATAACACGATTTTTTATCGTGAATGATTAAAATGTCTCCATGATCTGCTTTTGAAGAAATATCGCAGCTAAAAAGCATGCTATCAGTTGCAGTTCTAACACCTCTGTCCCCACATACTGTGCAACGCAAGGGTTATGCTCACGTGACATTGCAAGTATTCACAGTCATGCAAGTGTATTATTTCCATGCGTTTTAAAGCCTTGCCGCTGAAAACATTTTATTCACACACTGTTCTCAAATGTTTTATTTTTACTAGGGCTGTCAAACGATTAATCGCATCCAAAATAAAAGTTTGTGTTTACATAATATATGTGGGTGCACTGTGTATAATTATTTTATATATATATAAATATATATATAAATAAATACACACACATGCTTGTATATATTTCAGAAATATTTTCATGTATACAGATTTATATATAATTTATATTATATATAAATATAAATATTTTATTTATAAATAATATTTTTTTCTTAAATATACATGCATGTGTGTGTATTTATATATCCACAAAATACTTATACACAGGGCACCCACATATATTATGTAAACACAAACTTTTATTTTGGGTGCGATTAATCACGATTAATCGTTTGACAGCCCTAATTTTTACATTTATTTACTCATTTTCTTGCTTGAATACTACTGTTAAATACATCTACTGTGAAAACTAAAGAACTGTTTATTTCATGTGCATATTCTATTGTGTTTGTAAAGTGCATATTTGTTCTAATTATTAATAACAAGGATAAAAAAATTTAAATAAATATTTTCTAAATGGTCTGTCATTCTTTTTTCTTTTATATTTTGTTACCTTGTAAAGCTACATTTTAGAAATAGGGAAATTAGTTTGGCTGTGCTGCTCAGTGATATTGTGAAGTGATATTTTTGCCATTTCGCTCACCCCTTCTTGAACCCCATGCAAAATTTGCAATAGGAAATCTTTCACCCAGGAGTGAAATTCCAGAATGTGTAGATTCCTATTGAAATGACTCGAGACCACTAAAATGGTAAATGGGACCACACCTCAAAAAAACAAAAGTGGACACAAAAATAAAGTTCCAAATCAATGTGAACACAACAAGAACAGATTTCCTTCTCACTGAAAGCAGTCTGACTTGATTTTTTGGCTTAGTGAGAAAGCTTAATGCTTTCTATTAAAGGGATACTCCACTTTTTTTTGGAAAAACACTCATTTTACAACTCCCCCAGAGTTAAACTGTTGAGTTTTACCTTTTTTGAATCCATTCAGTCGATCTCCGGTTCTGGCGGTACCACTTTTAGTGGACCTGACCATTAGCATTTCTCACAAAAAAAAAAAAAAAAAACTTGACTACTTGAATATAAAACTTGACTCTTCTGTAGTTACATCGTGCACTAACTAAGACAGACGGAAAATGTAAAGTTGCGATTTTCAATCAGGAAACTTCACTGTCGTACCATGAGTGAAGCAGGCGTGATGTTATGACGCAGCGCCTGAAAATAGTGCCCAGCTTCCAACGTGACCGGGACTAAGTTTGAGTAGTCATCGCGCCTGCTGCACTCATGGTACGACAGTGAAGTTTCTTGATTATTACGCAGGAATGAGAGTATAGTTCCTAGTCATATCAGCCTAGAATATCGCAACTTTACATTTTCCGTCTGTCTTAGTGTAATTTTAGTGTAAATTATTGTAACTTAGTGTAATTGTCTTAGGTATTTTTTTTTTTTGGGGGGAGTCTTGTGCACTTCAATGATGTATGCTAAGCTATGCTAAAAGTGGTACCGCCAGAACCGGAGATCGGCTGAATGGATTAAAAACAGGTAAAACTCAACAGTTTAACTCTGGGGGAGTTGTAAAATGAGCATATTTCCAGAAAAAAAGTGGAGTATCCCTTTAACAGCAGAGTGTAGGTAAAAACATTACAAAACATGCTTGCTAGTGTGTAGCGTTTTCACAAAAGTCCCAATTTTGAGACAGATGATGTGTGCGAGCCTAACCTGACGAGCGCCTCGGGTTTGCTCAGCTGATTGTTGGGAATGCAGTTTTCCACAGGGTCTCTGTGCGATGTTGCGTTCTTCCCTCCTCCACACTTCTGTTTCCTGTCCCCCTTATTTGAGGACGACGAAGGCCCGGAGGAAGACGGCACGTTGCCATTGGCTGTTCCGTGTCCCCGGGGCGAGGAGCTCCCTCCTCCTCCGCTGGCGTTTTTGTAATTTTTGTTGGAGTTGGAGGAGGAAGAAGAGGAGGAGGATGAAGAGTGTTCATCTTTCAGCAGGTTCTCAGTGCTGCCCAGCAGATCTGAGCTGCTCAGTCTCTTACTGTTCACGTGGTTCTCCATGTACTCCATCTCCTGAGCTTTACTGTCCACTGAGGGCAAGATGCTGCTGCTGGTGCTGCTGTGATGGTTCTGGTTGTGGTTGTGCTGCTTTTTGGACTCGTTTTTGCCTCGTTCTTTCTCTCTGTATTCCAGCTCTGGTAACGTGTTGGATGAGGGCTTTTTACCGCCCGCCGAGCCGTTCTGTGCCACAGCTGGAGAGTCTACATCTTGAATGCCTTTAGATGCTGCTGCTTTTGAAAGTGAAAGAGCAAGAAAGACTTATAAAAAATAGTTTATCCAAAACAAAAAAATCTGTCTATGTAAACTAAGTCTCATGTCACTGCAACAATGAACAATTTCATAATTTTCTCATTGCTGTTGATTTTATGGTATATAATGGTTTTAATCATTTATTTTAATGACTGGCACTTTATTTACATTTATTTATAGTGGCATATTTTAAATGTCAGGAGTGGAAAGAATATAAAAACACTAATATACATATATATATATATATATATATATATATATATATGTACATTTATATAAATATATACATATTTGTCATATACAAATTTAGGTCACCCTTTAGTTTAGGGTCTAGTTCTCACTACTAACTATTTTATATGACTTTTGCCTCAATGAACTCCTAATTACTTCATATTAACAGTTAATAAGGTCGTTGTTAAGTTTAGGTACTGGGTGGATTAAGGGATGTCAAATAGGGTGAATAGGGATGGGCAACGATTAATCGCATCCAAAATAAAAGTGTGTATAATTAATTTGTATATATATATATATAAATACCCACACATGCATGTATATATTTAAGAAAAATGTGTTATTAATATATCAAAGCTGCACAAGATCATCCCTCAGTCCATACCTTCCTCTGCTTCTCTCTCTTGTCTCTGTATGAGCTGTTGTTCTGGAGGTAGTGCCTGCTGCAGGAGCTGCATGTAAAATTCGTTCTCTTTCTGCACTTCCTTCTGTTTTCGTAGACGCATCTTATAACTTACATAACTCTTAAAACCAAAGCCCAGCGTAACCACCGGGTACCCAATACTGTGAACATAAGAAGAAACAGTACATCAAATGATTAGCATTGCTGTTGTAAAAAGCAATTCAGTACGCTGTTTATGGTGTTGCGGTCAAAGCAAAGGTAATAAATCAGTCACAGGAGAGTTCTTCTGCAACGATCCGCTTCTTGATATTTCAGCTGAATAAATTTTATATTGGTGTTTAGCATCATTTTGGTCACGAAGAAGTGCGTCTACACTGCTGACATCTTTACTTATTGTAGCTAACCACACTGTTTGCACAATATAGACACCGACAGAGTAAAAATGCACAATCAGAGCTCTAAATGTGATGCCTTCCAAAACTATTTTTGGCCTACCATTTTCAGTTGCAGGAATTTCAGTGCATCACTATTTCTGATCATGACAAACACAGGACAATTATTGATGTAAATTCAATTCCAGACAACAAAAGTAATTGTCCAGTAATAAAAACATGACCAATACGTTTTGAGAACACTGGACATATAAAGCAGAAACTCTCTCACAATCAATGAAAGCGTAAGATTTGTCAGCGCAAGTGTGGATTTGGGAAAATGACATACCAGTGTGCTGCAAATGGACGACACAAGTCCACATGGAAGTGTTTCAAGTCTTTAAATCTGATAGCTGCCTCAATATAAACAAAAAGTATCCATAGTGACACAGTGGGAAGGCAGACCCCTCGTTCTGTAGAGAGACAAGAGATTTGAATGGCCAGTTCAGTGAGTAGAGTGTAATAATAATAACAACGTGAACAGCACAAGTTAATCTAAACAAACAAACCCACAAGGGTTCACACACACACACTCTATGGGTGAATTTGAGCAAGTCATTTGAAGCAAATGCTTTGTTGACACCAAGATCCAGAGCTGCTCAGTCACACCGGCATAAATAACCAAACTTACAGCTGCAAGGTCACAGTGTGTGTGTGCATGTTATAAAGAGAGAATAAACCATGCGTTGACAAAAAAACTCGCATCAGAATGGCAATGATCCTCTCATTGGGGTTCGCCAATGGATGCATGTGTAAAAAAAAAATTTGTGTCTAAACTGAGGTAGCAGCTACCAAAACCAATCTTTACAGCCCATCTTTACAAAGAGGATTAGAAATAACAGAGATGGGCGTGTCTACAACAAACTTGAGGTTGTCTATAACGGAAATTTCAAAACTATCAAGTCATGAATGTTCACGAACCACAGACCAACCAACTGTTAGCTTGATGTTGAAACATTCAAACGAAAAATCCCAGAACATTGATGGCAGGGTGAACATGTGATATGAACAGGTGTGTGGCTCTTACCTGTGTGCCAGACGTACTGTACCCACACATATGTGCTGGCTGCAAAGAACAGCCACTGCACTGGGATGAACAGCAGACATATAATGTCTGATGTGAATGCCACACACACAAAAAACACTGAGAAAGCCTGAAACACACAAAGAGATGCATCAGATCATCACAGGGAGCCTCTTTCAGCATTTGGGTAGTAGGGCAGCTACCTAATAGTTGACTAGGTGAGGCTTAGTCGACTCGCCCATCATTTTTCCATATTTGCAGCCGTCACGGATTCAGAAAACACTAGTTCATTAAATAATTAAAATGTCTCCTTGCTATTTTTTCTGACATTCATATTTTTGGCGATGCTTTGCGAAAAGCTTTATGCTTGCACTTGAGAACGGAATGGGCTATATGACAGAATTATATTTTAGTGTCCTGCTGTGAGACATGCCCAACATCATATAAAGTAAACAACCCTAAACCCTATTCCGACAGGACTAGTTTTCCAGGAGGGTTGTTAGAGAAAGTCATTATTCATGTTTCACAGACATTGCAATTTTATTCCAGTCTGAATTTACCAGGTCTGTGTTTTTCTCACACAACCTCTGTAAAAATTCTGGGGCAAATTGCCTACTGCCTACTGTACAAACTCAATGGTCCTCTGAGAAATCTAATGTCCGAATGCAAATTTTGGTGATTGCTGATGTTGTATTATTCTAACGCTTCTCCTCATGTGTTTTTGACCTACCCGACCAACCATTTGGACACCAATCTTCAACATGCTTTAATTTAGTTTCAATATGGATGGAATCCATTTAATTAATAAATTGAGCCAAATCGCAGAAACTGCGAAGATTGCCCATTATAACATCAGTGTCATGTAAGTGTAAGATACTTGTCTAGATTTCTCTGCTCAGTTATTTATTATAATAGCCACTACACATAAATTAGTCCCGTCCGAATATGGCTCTAAACAGCATTTTATAAATATTACAGTTTTCATAATTTAAGAGACATAATACTAGGGCTGTATTCAACCAAAGAAATCCTTAGTCGACCAAAGTCGAGTCCTGCTCGACGATTAGTCGACTAAAAAAAAAAAAAAAAAAAAAAAAAAAACGTGATGTTTTGATTAAACATTTTTTAAACAATTGTCATTGAGCATTTATAAAACAACAACGAAAAAACATCACAAATAAATAAAACTATAATAATAATACAATTCTTTGAAAGTTAAGTGATTTTTTAACTGCAAAAAGTGAAGAGCTCTGTCCTAGGTCTATAGTACAGTCCCACTCGCGCACCTGACCACACCACGCTGCAAAAAATATAACTGCTATCTGCCACATAATGAAAAATTCCAACAAAAGCTCTCGTTTATACAGGCTTTATATTCTTCTTTACTTTCAAAGCTATGGGTTAACTTTAGTCCTGACGATCAAGGCGTTTTAAACAACACTCAAAAAAACCCAAATAACTTAAAAACAATCCTAATAATAGGCTAGGACTGCGTATAGGTTTATTTTCGTTTTGTTGCATTATTTAGGCTATTTTCAAATGCGTCAAGTGTACAAATAAAAACGAAAACATTAAGAAAACACAATCTATTGAGTCAGCATGATATAGCCGTTAAAAGGCTGCTCACGTCTTTTGCGCGCTCAAGTTCGATTTCAAATGTAGGCGCGCGACTTGCGCGCTCATAATGGCAACGCGATCGCCTCCCTCCACAGTCTTGTCGTCTTTGTTTTAAAATGCAGCCAGACAAAAGATTTATATTTCCTGGACATTTTGTCGACTAAAGCCAAAACAAGCAGCGTTCTAACTGAATGAATACAGCATCCCTTACCGAGCGTGAAGCAGCAGCGCAGCCAGCCACAGGTGCGGTTCCCGACTGTATTATGTGTGTGCGCTAAACTGTGGCGCAGTTACAAAAATAGCCTAAATTAAAGCATTTTAAAGTTGGGGACAAAACATAGGCTAATTATATTTAGAATACAGTAATAAATAACTGCTTATAAATGAATAATTATCAAGGAGTAAGTCATTGAAAAATTCCTACTATTGGTAAAAAATAAAAAAAATAAAAATAAAAAATGCAACTGGTCGACCAATAAGAATGTCAGTCGACCACGACGGCATCGACCGATTAGTCGACTAAACGACTAAAGTTGACAGCCCTACATAATACAAACAATAACATATATGTTTTCAGTGATGGACTGACAAATAAGATGCCTTAATTCTTTATTTTTGTACTATTATTATTATTATTATTATTATTATTATATATTTTTAGAATATATAATATGTTGCAGTTAATTTAAAAAAAGTTCACCTGAAAATTATTCAGATTTTTTTTTAATCTGTTTTGGAGCTTATAAGCAGTATGAATCACCATGCACTTTCTTTGTACGGAAAACAGAAGCTCAGACATTTTGCTAAACAAACATCAGATTTTTGGTTGGGACAACATGAGGATGAGCAATTGATTCCTTTGTTTATTTAGTCCCATCATCTGGATGTCAAACTCATCTCAAATACACACACACACACACACACACACACACTCACCAGGCCTTGGTATCTGAAGGAGTCGTAAACACTGCGAATGAAAAGCCAGAAAGGCCAGAGGTACTCGAAGCGAAACTCCAGCACAAAGTCTGCCAGCAGCACCAGCGCCCAGACCACCAGAAACTTCAGGTACAGGAATGTACTGAGACAGAGGGAAAGAGATATTATTAAACAAACATTCATCCATCCATTTCAAGATTTCAACCCTAGATCTCTTTGAATAAGACCCCACATGTGGCCTTGAGCCAGTGAACATCTAGAGGCACGTAAAGCAAACCAGCAGTAAATCCAAACCAATGAACCATGGCTACATGGGGGAGGACGTGAATCACGGTTTGGCTTTCTCCAATGCAGCGTGTAGTAAATGAAGAAGTGGATTATGTTTTATGTAAGGACGAGAAGCACAAAAAACATCTCCAGATGTAGAAATGCAGATAAGGTGTAATTAAGCAACACATATAAAGCAACAATATAATTTTAATGTGCTTTTTAAGACGCTGTGTTTAGACCAATTTTATGACAGTCTAAAACAACACAGCTTTAAGACTGGTAGTAATAATAACAATAATAACAATAAAAAAAATCGTTTTCCGCATATGACACGTGAACCATAAAGTTGCATATAAAGCTAAAAATTATAAAGCATAAAAAACTAAGATAAAACCTTAAAATCAAAACTAATTATAACAATAAGAAGAAATCATCAAGTTATTTTAATAGAGCCTTCTTAACTGTTAGTCTTGTTAGTATCATAGAAATTTGTAAAATCATACACCTCAAAACAAATTAGTTCTCTTTTGTAGAAAAAAAGTAGAATATTGCAGCTCTTCTGTCTGAAATGATTATATAACATATTTCTCTGCTGGTCTTACAGGTGCTGAACGCTCTATTAATAGTGTTCTGATGATGACAGAGATAATTTTGTTAATGCAAGGTAAAAATAAGCAGTCACCGGACCAGTAGATCTGGACTGATGACATGCTTGTTCATTTCCACCTCATTGAGGAAAGCGACAACACGAATCAGTTAACAAACAAAAGATAACAGGTGTTACAGATGCATCTTCACAGATTATGCCATCAAAGTTTAGTCACTGGATGGTAGGGGTGTAACAATATATCGTGCCACAATATATCTCAATACAAAAATGCAACAATACGTATAGTGGTTAGTGACAATACGTATCGTGGATAGTCCGATCCCCCCCCCCCCAAAATAAAAATTACTGTGTGAGAAAAAAAATCAAGTTAATTTCAAGTTAAAGTCGAATTAATGACAGAATTTTCATTTTTGGGGTAAAAACCATTTCCATATGAACCCCAACCAACATATTTCCCAGATGCATGCAACATTAAGCTCTAGAACCACTAAATATTAGAGTGTCAAACAGGCCGAACATCAAGCAGAATAACAGACGACTGATAATGGGTGAAGTCTGGCAACCTTCTTTAATAGTGCCAGATATTTACCCACTGTGAGCAAATCATAGGGTTTAACTGCGTCATCTGCGGCACAAACTATTTATGATATATCTGGAATTATTTTGTTGGCAAGGACTGTGCATTATGACAAGGATATACTTTGTAAATTCAATTCATTTTGTGAATCATTTCAAGCTGTAAATTAATCAACTTGATTCAACATTACAATGCAAATATGCACTATGCGTATATGTGGTATTTTTCACATGCTTTGAACACTTGTTAAAAAAAATATGTGCAGGTAAATATATTGATGTTTATTAGTGTATTGTTAATTAAGTTCATTGGTTAGATGAAAATGATCAAATATAATCATTCCTTGTGTTATTTACTTGCAATTATGCCTTGATTATTTTTTAGCTATCTTGTAAATGTATTTTTTTCTTTCACTTTTGGCATTATAAATCTACTTGGCTTTAATGACTGTTTGGTTGAAACTGGGGTTTCTCTGTTTGAAGAAAACCACCACTTTAAACAGTTTCAAAGCAAATTCATATCCGCAACGTAATTATCTGTAAATTGCTGCCATCTAATTCACTTTACTGACATATTGCGTTACACAATTGACAAGGAGTCCTATGACCTGTACACAACATGACTCCCACATCATGCATAGAGATTGAAACTATTATATGAGAGATTATGGCTACTAATAATAATCTAATAATAATAAAAGTAAGACAAGTCTTACACAAACACTAAGGCCAACAAACTATGGATTTCAAGAAAAAGGCACAATGAAATATGTAGGTTTTAATAAAGAATATTATCCTCAAAAGTGAATTAAATTGCTAAACATGATCTGGAAGAACGTATAAAATATATTACCAATGAAAGTGAACGCTGACTGATGATGTCAGTCCCTAACCTCTCCCTGTAAATATACTGTGATTTCTGGCACATATAACTTAAAGGTTTCTTACACCAAATGATGGAAGGCAAATTAGTAGTAACTTAGTCAAAATATGTGATCAAGGATATTATAAAAACTATCTCGGTCTCCCCAACTACTGAGGAAAAATAGTGCCAACTTATTGAGTTATTTGGCGTCAGGCATTTAAAAAAAACACTGCAGCTGTCTCTTAGAAACCATTATTTGAATAAACTTCACGCTTTCTGTGCTACTTTAAATGTGAAATTTGTTAATTAAATTTCGGCTATTCTTCTTACGGTCTTGTCAGACAAAATCAAAACATTGCCTTCGTTGCGGATCCCGACAGACTGAAGGAGCTGCTGTCACGTCAATCATTCTGATGATTGACACTTACTGACTCTAACGGTCGAGTCTCGAGCCCTCACTAGTGGGTTTCGCGGGTTTCTTTCTTTTAAAGCACATCGCTGTGATGATGAGGCCTACGGCAGCTTATTCATTTCTGCGGAAACTACTGTCTACCTTTGGCCAGCTTTGTTGACTGTAGCACAGTTGAGCTTTACGATTTACTGTCTCTCTATTGGGTCTTAGACCATTACAAAATGTCAAATCTGGGTCTTTCCTACAGCTCGGTAAAGATAACGGGTCCGTCATAAGGTCTGAATCGTACCTGCCGTAGATCCCCTCGGTGATTCGGTTCCGTTTTAAGGGCCGTCGGAGCTTGCTGCAGTCCGCATTGCGCCGCTTCATCCTCGCCCCCTTAAGTCGGGCTTTTTAATACGTACAGCAGTATGGTCCAGGGTTCTGTCTTAATCGGATGGGAAACATTGGTGGTCCCTCAAAGGAATATACCGCGGTGGTTTTTTTTTTTTTTCCAGCTGGAAACAAAGAAATAAATAAAAAGACTGAGAGTGGAAGACCCTCCTCCTTGTCTCGCGCAGACGCACAGTCACGGGCCTAGAGAGAAGTGACTGACAGGCTGAAGAGCCAATAAGAATCGCGCATGTCAGCTGTCATTTTGAATGACAAATCAAATAGCCAATAGGCAGCGGTCTGATTTGTGGCGGTACCAAAGAAAGGGAAAAGGGCGGCTGACCTGTTTTCTTGGCCCGACCAGTCGCTCTTTTTTTAGACAAATCAGGTAGTGGTCGCTGACCAATAGGATCGATTCAGGCGGGACTCTCTACGTTTTTTTCGTATGATATGTGAAAGATGCGGATTCCACATAAACTCACTTTACGTTGGTAGGAAAATGTAAATTGTACATTGTGTGACTGTCAAACGCTGAAATAACAAACAAAGCCCCACAAACAAGTTACATTATACATATATTATATTATACGAGCCATACCACCGAAAGGGTGACATTTCTGTCCCCAGGACATTATATGTATAAAATTGCATGAAAATCAACTCTAAAATACATTTTATTATTAAAGCAAAATGTCATGCACATTAAGCTAACTACAAATTTAAAACGTATAACTAAAAACATCAATAAAAACGACACAAAACACAAAAAATAGCATTTTCTGCATGTCCCAACTCTATCTCTAAACTTTACCCTGAAATATTATGATTAAAATCCTTCAGAAATCTGATTTTTCTTGCATTGTTGTGTGACTTGATATCCAAACTGCTTTAAAATGAAAAAATAAAAAACATTTGATCTAATATTTCAGTTAAAATACACATTTTAGTAATGTCACCAGGTTTTCACTCAGTCCTGTTAGACTATATTACATCCCCCTCTGAAAAACAGAATATTCCACAAGACACATTTTTAATAGGAAGTTGCATCATCTGGATCTTCTGAAGGCAATGGGGCGACTATAAGTCACTCTTTCTGTATATTTGATGAAATTGTAACTATGAATGAGAAGGTCAATCTCAACATAAAGTCTTACATACTTTTTGTAAGGCACCAGAAATGGCTCAGTGTCCTCACGCTATTAGCATCAATGCTATGTGGCCATATGCCATATATTTGATAACTTCATGCTTAAAAACTCAATCCTGTTACTTTCAGTCCTGTTCCTATTTTTTTTTTCTAAAAAAATAAAATTAAACCACTGGCCCATAATTTATACAATTATTTAATTAATCAATTCTAATATATATATATATATATATATATAAGCTTGAGGCGTCCTCATCTTTAAAATGAAAAAAAAAATGCCTTTGTATTTTTTTTTATCAATATACACTTTGCTTTAATAGTGATTTTATTGGCACAAATATCCTTTTTTTTTAACATATAACCAACAATTTCTTTAAAATAAACACTTTCTTGTAGGGAAAACAAAGGAATTAATTGACATGCTTCTAAACTTGAATTTTAAATGACACATGATTTTCGGTAACAGGATTGAGAAAACATGCGCCCATATTCTGCTTAAACCTTGTAAAAAAAAAATAAAAATACATAAAAAAGTTGCCTGAGATTGACCAATACACATTTTGAACAGTTAAATATGTGTAGTATTAGATTCAATGTTGAAAAAGATCAAAAATAAAGTTTATTTTTGAAGAGTTACAACAACCAAATGGCCCATACATACATCAATATTTTGTTTAGAGGCAGATTAATTAACTTAATTTGATCCCAATTAAGTAAATAACAATTTTGCTAATTTAGTTAGAGAAAAAAACAAACAGAATTTAGGTGCTGTAGAACAGGAATAACCCAAACTTTTAATAGTTATCATTTTCTTTGCCAGGTTTTGATAATGTTGCTAATAGGTCCTACTTTACAAACAAACATACACACACACACACACACACAACATGATTAATTGCAAATGGAGGCATTTTTGGGAAACACCTCCATTCCTCTTCGCATGCACGTGATCTTGCATACTCTTCTTCATCTCTGGCCGGTGAAGATTAAAGACAGTCAGAGTTTTGTCACGGTAATAATGGCTCCTCAGTACGCCCCCAGTCTCCGCTCAAGACTTCCTCTGGTGGCCTTCCTCCTGGAAACCATCTTTATCCTACTGTTTGTCTTTTTTGTGAAAATCGAGCAGCATGAGTCTGACAGTAAGCTTTTCATCCGCTCATATGCAGGTTAGTAAGTCTGATTTACATTTAAGCTGTGCTATGATTCTCAAGAGTTCAAACTTGCATTCATTGTTCAGCTTAAGGATAAACCTGAGGTTATTTATGAAATGCATCACATCATCTTTTGTAAACCTGCTATGTTAATTGCATATGTTAATGCATGCTAATGCAACAAAAGACTACTCACATATTCAGTTCAGAAATTAATTCCTGGCCTTTTTTTTTTTTTTTTGAAACTTTAACGTGTCAAAATATTCAATAGCAATATTCCTATCCATATGAATGTACTTAAAATGAATATGATTACTTGGTTTTGTTTGTAAATGTGTGGAACATTGCCGTTGGGGTGTGGAGCCACAACATCTCTGGTTTTGGATGATAAGAAGCATTTCACAAGCAATTAAAAGACTGAACGCCAAGTTTTTGAAGTTTATATCGCTTTTCATAAAATATTGGAAATGCAATCTTTTCTACAGAATTCCAAGATATTCATGTGATGATATTCATGGGGTTTGGATTCCTGGCCACGTTCCTTGTACGATATGGTTTCAGTGGATCAGGGTTTAACATGCTGTTAGCAGCCATGGCCATCCAGTGGGCCGTCTTGATGAATGGCTTCCTGCTGCCACAACGCCACCACAGACGAGAGATCCACATCAGTATGAAGAGGTACAGCGACATTACAGGTCTTAGCAGATGCTTTCTTACAAAAGCAATCCACAATGTGTAAATGTTAAAGGATTAGTTCACCTCAAAATGAAAATTTCCTCATAATTTACGCGCCCCAATGACATCCAAGATGTTTATGTCTATGAAAACATGTCTAATCTATGTCTAGATTTTTTCCCACACAACAGACTTCAATAGTAACCAAATTGTTGAAGTCCAGAGCTTCATACGGCTCTGAACGTTCCCATCTTGAGGAATAGGGTCTTATCTAGCGAAACGATCAGTCATTTAAAAAAATAAATAAAATAAAAATGTATATACTTTTGAACCACAACTGCTTGTCTTGTGCTGGTCTGCGACATGCCACGAATTCCATAATCACGTTGGAAAGGTCATTAAACGAGTAATCCATATAATTGTAATTTCATAGATTGAATATGAAACATTAACATTTAAAAATGTTAATGGTATTAACTTTGGAAAACTGGTACATTTACAAACTCTGGTACATTTACTTTGGAAAAACTAATGCATTTGTTTGTTTAAAACAAAAACTGATTTTAATAATCATGACAAAGGGCTTTGTCATGATTATTTTCATACTTTAAAATGGTACTAATATGCACTCTGTAGACACAAAGGTGTACCTTTTTGAAAGGGTACACTCTCAGAAAAAAGGTACAAAAGCTGTCACTGGGCTGTACCCTTTCAAAAGGGACACTTTTGTACCTAAAGGCTGCATATTGGTACCTTGATGGTACATATTAGCACATAAAATGTACATATTAGCACCTAAACTGTACATATATTAACACCTAAAATGTAGATAATAATAGTACCTAAAATGTACATATTAGCCACTAAAATGTAAATATTCGCACCTAAAATGTACATATTAGCACCTGAAATGTACATACAGTAGCACCTAAAATATACATACTCACACCTAAAATGTACATATTTAGCACCTGAAATGTACATATTAGCACCTGAAATGGACATTGGCACCTAAAATGGACATATTGGCACCTAAAATGGACAAAAGTTTACCCTTTGAAAAGGTACAGCCACAGTGACAGCTTTTGTACCTTTTTTTTCTGAGAGTGAATATGAAACATTAACATTTAAAAATGCTTAGCTCTTCTCTAAAGCATTTGTTTGTTTTAAAAAAAATTATTTTAATAATCATTACGAAGGGCTTATCCTTTGTCATGATTATTTTCATACTTTAAATTGGTAAAAAAAAAAGTACGAAAGCTGTGACTGGAATAAAAAGGTACTAATATGCACTCTGACTGTAGACAGTGTAGATGTACCTTTTTGAAAGGGTACCGCTCCAGTGACCGCTTTTGTACCTTTTTTTTCCACCTGAGAGTAGGTTTGAAAGCACCACTACATCAGATGTTATTTGTGCTCCTCATGTAGTGTGATTGAGGCAGAGCTCTGTGCAGCATCCGCTCTGGTTGCAATGGGAGCAGTCCATGGGAAGACAAATCCTGTCCAGCTTTTACTAATGGCTCTGGTGGAGGTCACTGGATTTGTGATCAATCAGTGGATCCTGCGAACTCTGCTCCATGTAAGAGAAGTATTACTTTCCCTGATGAAAATCACGGTTGATCCTGTTAACTAGTACTGTCAAATCGTTTAATCGCGATTATTCGCATCTAACATAAACGTTTGTGAAATCTATATGTCTGTGTGCAGTGCACACATATATATTTACAAACCTTTATGTTTAGATGTGATTAATCATGATTAATCGATTTGACAGCACTAATTTTTATCCTATATTATCCATATTTCAAGGTACATTGAATGCTAATTTCAAGAAGAATGATTTCAATGAAGAATGATTCATTCAGATTAATTCATTAATTGGTTTGTTTTTTAATTAGTTGATCCTGAAAACTCTCAGTATTACATTACCAGATATAAATTCATTTTCAAAATGTCCTCATCTCTACATTGCAAGCCAATTTCAGTAAAGAAATGTAACATAACAACAATATATAAAACGTATATAACTATAGCCTATGTGTAATGGAACAGGTATTTATGTTATATATTTTATACATATATTTACAAACTTTTATTTTAGATGCAATAAATCACGATTAATCAATTTGACAGCACTAATGAACATACTATTTTATTTAGCAGATTGAGTATTTGAAACTGTGTTCATGTTTTAGGCAGATCAGCTGTACAGCATCATGATGCTGCATATCTTCGGGGCTCTTTTTGGTGTGATGGTGTCATGGGTGCTGTACAGAGAGGGAATCAATCCAAAACATGAGAAAGAAAAAAATGACCGCAGCACTGGCTTATTCGCAATGTTTGGTGAGTACAATAACTAACAGTTATCTCTCGGACTCAGAAAATACCTCTAAACCAGGTTTCAGACTGTAACCATGACAGCACATCAGATGAGTTGTGAGCTTCGAGTGAGTCACACTTAAGATACATCTGATCATAACTGAGCATACATCAAAAGAGTGCATTCGATAACATCCACTATGGTTTCGGACACCACTATAAATGGCTGTCCCTTCAAATAGTGCCTTATTTCGGACACAGCCAGTCACTTCTTCTTTCGATCCTAAACGAATCATGAAAGTTGTGAACGAATCGGTTCAATAGGCTCAATGAATGATTCAGTGAGTCATTTACAAAGACAGTCATTTGTCGCCACCTACTGGTGTAACTGTGTGAAAGAAAGAGTCACTGAGAAGAATCCCCAACACTGACAGTCGAAACAACAGTGCTGCTGGATATCACAGCTCCTTTGAACGATGCTCGCCCAATCAGATTCAAGGACCGAAGTGTAATTATTTTATCTCTATATTTTAATTAAATCATGCTCGGGGAACTGCCTCCCTTTCTCTCTTTCTCACAGGAACACTGTTTCTGTGGATGTTCTGGCCCAGTTTTAACTCAGCACTGGTGTCTCACAGGGTGGAGAAAGAACTGAAACTCACTGTGATATATGGGACGTATCTGTCTCTGGCCGTCAGTGTTGTCATTGCGATGTCTGTTTCCATGCTCACCAGCTGCAAAGGAAAGATGAACATGGTGAGCGACTGTAGGAAGAACATTCCCACGTAGCAAACTCCCTCACAGAGTTGAAAACAATCATAACATAATACTCTGAAATCATACGCATCATGAAAGTATAATGGGCTGTGAACTCCATTACATGTTGACTTTCCAGTTTCTCAGATAATGTGAAGAGTACCATGTTTTACAGGTTCATATCCAGAGCTCTGCCTTGTCTGGTGGTGTTGCCATTGGAGTTGCCATGACGGCAGTCCACGCGCCATGGATTGCAATGCTGATTGGTTTCTGTGCCGCTCTCGTATCAGCCCTGGGATTCAAGTACATGAAGGTCAAGCCACATTTATCACAAAATGGAAAACTCAAATTCCCCAGGGTCGTTCACTAAAACTAAAACCATAAGAAAACTAGGCCTGTCAAACGATTAATCGCATTCAAAATAAAAGTCTAAGTTTACATAATATATGTGGGTGCACTGTGTATCATTATTTTGTGTATATAAATACACACACATGCGTGTATATTTAAGAAAAAAATATAAATTACATATAAAAATATATACAGTACATACATGGAAATATTTCTTAAATACATACAAATATGTGTTTGTATTTATATATATAATTATACACCGTGCACCCACATATATTATGTGAACACAAACTTTTATTTTGAATGCGATTAATCGTTTGACAGCCCATAAAAACATTAAACATTAATTAAAATAAAACATTTATTGTATTTCAGTATTTGTCAGGTTTCTTTCAAGTTGAAGTACTATAACTTTAAGTGATAGAGTCTCTGTTTTTTACTTTCATTCAGGATCACATGTTGTTTGCTTTTGAGTGTCATGACACCTGTGGCGTCCTCAATGTGCACGCCATACCGGGAATCCTGGGATGGTTCGCTCATTTATTTATACGGCTGGCCAGTACTGAAAGCACAATGTAAAGTGAATTTCACTTTTAGTCAATCATGCCATTAAATAAAATAACAGTAAAAGCAATGACTACAGGCATAAAATGATGTTTTTTCAGATTTGTGTTGTATTTGTGTTCTCAGAGCTGTGCGGTTTGCTGTGTATCACATCTGTGTTCTCCTCATAACACTGTGCATGAGTCTGGTGATGGGAACAGCTACAGGTACACCACTGATGGAGATCATTAGACAGACATATTTCATTTCCTTGTGTTATAATGATTAAAGGAGCAGTTCACTTTTTAAAAAAACTTTTGCTGATAATTTACTCACCCCCATGTCATCCAAGATGTCCATGTCTTTCTTTCTTCAGTCGAAAAGAAATTAAGGTTTTTGATGAAAACATTCCAGGATTTTCTCCATATAATGGACTTCAATGGGGACCAAACGGTTCAAGGTCAAAATGAGAGTTTCACTGCAGCTTCAAAGGGCTTTAAACGACACCAGACAACGAATAAGGGTCATATCTAGCGAAACGATCAAAAATAACTAAGTTTAAGTTTTATAAGCACAAATGGTCGCCTTGCTCTGTTCGGTGACGAGCGTTTGTGACTCTCCTGTTCAAACTCATTCATCAAAATGAACGAATCTTTTTTCGAGTCATTTCATTCGTTGATTCGTTCTTGGATGACATTTTGGGGGTAAATTATTAGCAGTTCACTTTATTTTTTTTTAAAGTGAACTACTCCTCAGTAGTTTTTTTTTTTAGAGTGAACTACTCTCAGCAAATCACCATATACTGACAATAAGGGACTTTGCAAGTTCATGTAAACTTATTCTACTAACCCTGATCTAACCTAACAGTCCATTAATACTCTAATGAGAGTTAGTTGACATTGTAGAAACGTCTACTGATGGACCATCAAAGTAAAGTGTTGTGTTTTTGCATTACCCTTACTGATAAGTTTTGTGTTTTAGTTTACTGAGGCAGACTAAACATACAACTTAAGTTAAAATTTGCAGGACTTTTCCTTAAATGGAGTTTCTGGAGACCCCAGCAGGACAGGAAGTGCTTTGATGACCAGGCATTCTGGGAGGTAAATGGTTTTGTTCATTCACAACAATATAAATACAGTGTCTACCATGACTAAACGTCAGTCCTTTCTCTTGCTGTGTTCGCATTCATCTTTTATCATTTAAAGTGGAATTAATGGCATACCTATTTTTTTTAAATGTATTAAACCTTAACTTATATTTCCAAACATGTTAATGATCGCTAATTATGTATTTCCTTCTCTTGTAGTTTCCAAATTTGGTGGTACATGTATGAAGAACATTGTGGACACATCGAAAAGAGAACTCATAAATGCAATTAACATAAAATCTGTGTTTGAGAAGTCACAGGTTGCTTAAGTAAACAATTTACAATATAAAATATCCTCAAAACAACAACGGCAAAGAATTTTCCAAGCCCGTGGCTGGAGAAGTTTGGTGAGCTGATATACCACCAACTAATTTAATATATAAAAATAACCTGATGGCTAACCTATAGTCCATAAACCCATTATTCATCTGTATTTGAACATAGTGAAAGAAAATAACACTGGCTCTGTACATATTTACAATAATTTTATTCATTTGAAACCCACAGTTGAATGAAGTTTAGCTACTTTTTGTCAGAAAGAGAGGCATGGATTACATTAAAATGTTACATTCTTTTAGCATGTAGAAATCACAGACTCTCTAATTTGTCAGTTAATAGACGAGTCAAAATCTTTGACTGACGTCACCTTATTCTCCCATAACCACTGAAATAATAAGAAATTGTGCTTTTTTAAAACCATTAACATTTTTATACAACTCCCACATGCCCAAGCATACACATAGAGAGTGACCTTAATGCTCCAGAACACACAAAATATATAACCAGGGTTCCCACAGTCGAGGAAAATATGCTGTTTGGTTTTACTAGTCGCACAAAAATTAAACACTTCATCTTTAAAAAAAAAAAAAAAAAGTTGACAGTGAATGTACATGTTTCTGGTAAAGCTCAGCTCTAAGAAACTGCTCTTGCTCAGTGCAATCTCTGTAAAATAATTGTAAAAAATCTGAAAAAGGTACGGGAATTCAAATAACATAATATATAAAAATCTTCCAAAAGTAAAACATTGACTAAAGCGCTGTTGCAGTGATGTCAACTGAGCTAATACGACAGTACGCTGGTCTGACTGAACGTGAAATTTCAAGAGATTAGGCATGAAAGTGAAACGACAGATACAAATTCGGTGGCATATGTAAAAAAAAAGCAAACTAATTCAAATGACGACACGTTAAAAATAAAAACACACACAGTGAGTCACTCATTTTGGTTTATAAACGAGTCTGCCCAAAAAAACTCTCCCTGCTGCGGTCGCATATGATCACGTTACTATATTTAGTGAATCAATGTTTTCTTTCCTCTTGAGATCTCTGGAAAAGCCAGGCTGAAGATATTAGCTCGTATTGTGCACTTTTAATATGAGAATTGTACACTTTATGTATGTTATGTCATTGTAGTTCTATTGCATATATGTAATTTTTTAATGCAGAGTGAGGTCAAAATGTGACTGAAGAGTCTGGATTTGATTTGCATTTCTTGTGTGCACTCATAAGGAAACAAGACAAAGAAAGGAAGAAGGAATATAATTAAGAACGCGAGTTATCTGAGGGGTTGAAAAGAGGAGAGAAAAAAATAGCGAGTGCAAATAAGCAGCATTAAGTACAGAGGAATTGTTCGTTGATGGACTGTGGGATTTGATTGAAGGAAATGAAGCTTTACTGCCAGAGGTCCTCAGTTCGGCCAAACTTGAACACCAGACCACTGCAAAGAGTGAAGGACAATCACAAATCAGAACTCAATCAAATGATCATGTTGTTTGCAGAGTAATTTATTATAATTTGCATGAACGCTCAAATTACAGGCCGGGGCGATAGTTCATATATTCATGACGTCTTCAAAATGATTTTAATGCACTTTTAACGGGGCATTAGGCTTTCTATTTAAAAGGTCCTTTAAATGTCTTACATATTCAAAAGCATCAGTAGAAAAAAAATTCAGTTCAGTTTCATTCAGTTTGAATAAGATAATATTGTCCATTCCATTAGATTTATTTGAAAAAAATTTGATTTAACAACTCGTTTGTGTAATCAATCACTTAAAAATTAATTATCTCCACATGTCAATTAGATACAAATTGTTTTAGTAAAAATATAGGTAATAACTAGAATATCGGTATAATATTGCACATAATTTATTAAATATCCCTGGGGCCAGTTTTTTTTCTTTCTCTATTTACTTATTTATTTATTTAAAGAAATTTCCACTTTTAGTCAGCAAGGATGCATTTAATTGATCAAAGGTGGCAGTAAAGACATTTATAATGAATGATACAAAAGATTTCTATTTTAAATAAATGCTGTTGTGTTTAACTTGCTACTCAGTGAAGAATCATGAAAATATTAAGCATCAATTGTTTTCAACATTGATAATAATAATAAATGTTTCTTGAGCAGCAAATCATCATATTAGAATGATTTCTGAAGGATCATGTGACACTGAAGACAGGAGAAAATTCAGCTTTGATCATAGGAATAAATGACATTATTTAACAATCAGTTTTTAATGTATTTTTGATCAAAAAAAAAAAAAAAAAAATGCAACCTTGGTGAACAATAAAGACCTCTTTCGAAACGGTTCAATCTTACCGATCATAAACTTTTGTAGAGTTTATATAGTGTTACACATACATATATATATATATATATATATATATATATATATATATATGAAGAGTTCAGATGCAAAAGCCTCTAAATGCCATTTGAAATTTTCTTCTTTAATGATGCTTTTTATCAAACTTGTATATTTAAGTTCAGTAATTTCACTTAAATAACAATTAATATGTAATTATCATTGCCATTTAATTGAAATTACTGAACTTAAATATACAAGTTTGATACAAATCGCCATTAAAGAAGAAAATTTCAAATGGCATTTAGAGGCTTTTGCATCTGAACTCTTCATATACACTAAAATAAAATTAAATTATAGGCCAATAAAATTATATCACCCTGGCCTACGGGTAATATCAAGCCTGTTCTGATGTGAGATTCTGTTCTCTATATTTCCAAACTTACCCAAAGAAGATGAATGCATTTTGGAAGAAAACTGCAATACCAGGGTACACTGACAGATCCTTCTTTTCTGTTCATTCATAAAAAATAAAAACTTTATTAGAAACTATATACAAGTAGAAACCTGAAACATCGTTTTCTCTAAAAAGAAAAAACAAAGCAAAATCTCTCATCTCTTACCGGTCACAACGAAACCACCAAACAGAATCCACATAGAGGCGATGAGAGACCCGAATGCCAACATGAACCCGATGAAGAGCCAAACTCTGGCACCTACACACACATTACATTTGCATTTCATCATTTAACAGACGCCTTTATCCAAATGAGGAGAGCAATAGAGGCAAACATTAACAATAGGACAACAATATGCAAGGGCTGTGACCCTTCCTAGTTCAGTCTCATACAGTATTTGCAATTTTTTTACTTTAATTTTTTAGAATTTAAAGAGGGTGTGTTCACACTTGGCATGTTTGGTTCGATTAAATCGAATGGCACGATTGCTCTGTTAGTGTGGTTCATTTGAATGAGCGTGAACACTGCCACCTGACCCCTGGTGTGCAGTGAGCAAACAAGAGGACCGAGACCGCTGAAAAGATGAGTCTCAGTTCACTTCCAAACCATCTCTGGTACGATTCGACTAAAATATGAACGTAGGACAGACCAAAGACATGTAAACGAACCAAAAACAGGACATGATGTCACGCATTTTTATCATCATAATCATGATGTTGCCCATCACAGTTCAGTACAGGCGTCAGAACCGGATCTCCTCGCAGGAGATCTTCATCTGTGTGTGTGACGGACCGATTCCTGACGCTGTTTTGACTCCGTTACACACATTATAATCTCTCCATGGGTTCTCAGCTGGTCAAAATATCATCAGATGTAGGCTATGCACATGTGACGAGTGCATTTAGCCCAGAACACAGCATTGGTTTTGATGCTAAGGTCTGTTGTAAAATACTTTATTTTTATAGGTCCCATCTTTATTCCCACCAAGCGAACCAGGAATAAATATATTGTTTTTTTTTTGTGTTTTTTTTGTCAAGACCAAAAGAACAAAGAGAAGAACCCGCTAAGGCACTTTTTAGTTATATGGTATTCCAATAAAGTCCAAAACATCATGATGTGAATGCAGCACTTACCAGTCTGTCCCAAGCAGCCCTCGCTGTAGCTGTCTCCCCTCACCTGGCCGTTTGACACTGCGTTGATCCTGCATTCAAACAAAGACCCTTTAAGGAAAGTCATTCCACTGGACGGCCATCTCTGAAACTCCTCTCGGGCAGCTTCAGTATTTCAGTCATGCAAGTACAGCTCCAATCTCTTTAATGGGGAAACATCTCTAAAGCTGTTCACCAAGCTTAATAATCAAGGGATACTTCAGGTTTTAGCATTAAGCTTTGTATTAGTAGGTCTGTCCCGCATGTCCTCAACCCGATCTCACTCACAGACTGAACACATAGTGTCAGCCATCATTTTTTGGAAGCTAAGCTAGCAGGCTCTTGTTCTGTGGAGAAAGCTGAGTCGTAGGGGTTACCATCCACTTTTTCCTGGACATGTCCGGCCGTCGATGTCCGGGATTCAGCTTTTGCTTTCTGCAGTCGCCATTCATTGTTTACATGCACAGCTTTTGTTTCAATCTAACTGAATTCATTCTGATTGGTGAATCTGAATGTAGTGTTTACATGAACGCTAAACAAGTGATCGGTTGATGTGCGTTTTAACATGTTGCAATGTCGCTCATTGGTCATCACGCCACCGGCCTCGCGCCATTCTCCCTCACTCGTCCCGCTCGCCACAGTAAACATGATGAATGGCGACTGTAGAACGCAAAAGCCGAATCCCAAACATTTTGGGCGATCTCGAAACACATTTTCGGGCAGACTCATCATGGAGACTCACTAGTAGCCTAGACTTGTTGTTTAACTACTGTTCTCTGTTACCGGTAGGCGTGGCCTCCTAGGGCAACGAAGCAAGTGCATTCTGGGAGTTGTTGTCTTTCATCCACTTAAGTCAAAACTACATTTTCTGGCTTTTCTCAGTCTAGAAAGCTCCAAATTCAAAAATAATTTCACATTTCTTCTACATAAATGACCCATTTTAAATACACATTCATCTTTCCAGAACTGAAGTATCCCTTTAAATTTAAAATCACCAATGAAATCTGACAACAACAGTCTCAAATCCTTGTCTCAAAACACTTTCCCCCTTTCATTGTAATATAAGTGCACCGTCTATCTAAAGTCTTTGAAATCAACAGAAAATGAAACTCAACAGGGAATTGAACAATGCAGTCATGGTGACGGTAGTCATTGCACAACCCTGTAGTTAAATCAAGGCTAAACAACAGGAAGAAATCAGGGACAGTCTGTCTGGCTGGACACATTAAAAACAAGTGCTCTGTTCCCTTCATTAGAGGAAGCAACGAGGGCCGAGAGAGAATCTGTACAGGTGTAACTCACATGAGGAAGGCTATAGTCGCTATAACCCCACAGGTGTGATATGCGTGGTGGAACTCTTCCTCTTTAGGGTACATTATCGCTGCATCGATGATGATCCACCAGCCTGTGAAAAACTGCACGGGTGCACAGTGTGAGAAGAAAGATCATTAGTTTGAGAATCACTGGGTTTTTGAGGTAAAGTGCAGACGACAATTTATAAGTCATCAGGCAGACGTACCAGAACTCCGGCTGCGATGGAGGCGATGGTGTTTCTCTTCTCACCCCAATCCACATTACACTCGCAATCGCCACATCTGATCCCATCCAGAAACCCCGACATGCTGCTGATTTCACCTGATCATTCAAAGAAATACGGTCATAGTACAGATACTTATTCATATTGCGTAATGAACAGGGCCATCTAGCTTGGGCTTTTATCTAAAGTGAATAAAACTTTAAATAACATGAATTACAGTGACAATCTTGAACAAATATATCGATATTTCATTTCAAAACACCATCAACATATCTATCTATCTATCTGCTGCATATGCTTTTAGTTAGATATTATATATGAAAACGTTTTTTTGCTGCTTAGAGTTTTAAGGAAACCACGATGCAGTACCAGTTCAAAAGTTTGGGGTAAATAAAAACAAATTAATAGTTTTATTCAGGAAGTTTGCATTAAATTCATCAAACGTGCCAGTAAAGACATCTATCTTACAAAAGATTATATTTCAACTTCCTATTTAGTAATAAAATTACATTTAAAAAATATTGGAATAGAAAACATAACATAATAGTTCACAATGGTGACTGTATGCTTGGTGACTAGTAGTGAGTATAAGATATTTATTTCAAAAACATTTTTAAAAACACTGGGGGAAGTTAGTGTTCACAAACTCATTTTAGCAGGAATCATAATAAATTTAATAAATTGTTATTGCGCAAATGCGGCGCAGCATCACTGACTGCGCACACGCAGAGCACACATGATCACCCCGAAACCAAACACAAATAGCACACAAAAGGATTTCCATTTTGTCATGTTTGCGTCCAAAATCGGAATATTAACATAAGCGATGTTTAACACAATTGTTCAAAACTATGTTTCCGTTCATTTTCGGACGAAGCCGTCGAGCGTTAACGCTGTAAACGACGTGTTTGATCTCTAATGCCCGGATGATTTCTAACCCATATTTGCTACATCACTGTTTATATAAAGTATCGCGGATAAATACGAGCAGTATTGAAGAATAACTCATGAATGATAACAATAACTCACGCTCTATAGCACAATACATTCCTACCTGCACTTTTCTTGAGTGTTTCTTGTGGTTCGCAGTAAGTGGAGATAGACTCCGCAGTCTTCCGTCTAAAACAGTGGCTCTGAGCCGCACATGCGCAGTGCCCTCTCCATCATACTGGGCACGTCCTATCAAACAAAACGTGCACCAACTAAGGGTTTTACACCTAAATAGTGAACAGCACGTCTGATAAAATTACAAGAATTTTTTTTTTAAAGAAAGGTTTTATAAAAAGTTATTCTACATGGAGCGGGTCGGTCGCCCCCTGAAGGCGCCTATGTTGACATCACATGACCATGTCAACGTCCTCGACCAGTTGAACCATACAAGGATAGATATGAAACTGTTATTATAATTCCTTCAACAACATATATATATATATATATATATATATATATATATATATATATATAAATTGCATAAACAGATGAACATATATAAAGGAAGGTTACATTAAATTAAATCCACTACTGTTTTATTCGTGAAATTTTTCCATTCAACAGTCAGATACAAATCTTGTAAACATTTAAACACATCAGGAAATGTGAAGAGAACAGAAATTGACTATTTTTCAATATTTTTAAACCTGGAAATACTAAACTAAAATTGTAAAGACAATCAAACTTTTAGCCTTTTCAAACTACGGTAAATTCTTCATAGTATCTGTTTGGTGTTTGCATTTACAATTGTTCAGAGTGTTTTGATAAAACTCCTAACTCTAAATATTAAACTTGGCCACACTGCTTTTCTCATCTATGAGACTCTCTCAAAAAATAAAAACTGATTTTAAGGAGCCAAATGGAATGATAAGAATATCATAGTAATCACCCACATCACCATAGCATTATAGTAAAGCTCTAGGGTCTGTTTATAAATGTTTTAACACTCCAGTTGTCCTAAAGCCCAGCCATATGCTACTTTAAATATTACCAGTGACCAGAATTATGTTATTCATTTCATTTTTACAACTAAAGGACCTTTTGTAATCTCCTCTCAGTGATTTCAGAAATGACAGAGCATGTTCCTCTGCTAAAATAAGCAGTATGAAGTATGATCACCATACGTTTTCTCTCTTTAAATCAATCAAGCACCCACATATGGTTTATTTGAATCTTACACCAACATTTTATTATTCATTTCTCTGAATCTATTGATATAAATAGAAGGTTGACCAATGACCATACATGCCAATCAAATCAGGACAGTCTCTGATTTGCTGCCTAGTGATTAGTTTTGCAAGTCAAGTTTAGTCACCTTTATTTATTTAGCCCTTTTATAATGCAGATTGTTTCAAAGCAGCTTTACAGTGATATCAGGAAAATAATGCAACAGAGTTTGTTTTGGCTGAACAGCAGCTTTAGAAGAAAATAGTGTCATTGTCCAGCCTAAGTAAGTTCAGGGTTGATTCATTTCCATTAAAAATCACTAGTTATGAATCTAGTTATTTATCATACAGTAGCTCTGGAGAAAACTGTGACATCATCATCCAGTTCAGTTCTCATCCAATAGTATCAGTGCAGTCAAATCAATAATATTGTTGAATATTTGCACCTGAAATACAGTGATCCACAAGCGAAAATGACCTAAACTGGACTCAAACCCAGGTCGTCTGCACATTAACACCATCATGAAATGATTAACTGGTCAGCCTAATTGAAATCGGAGAAATACAGCATAAAGCTTGAGTATGAAAGTCTAAAATGTTGATTACATGTGATTAATATATTGTATAATTTGTAAAAAAAAGAAAAAAGTTACATGATGGAACAATGGAATTTAAAAACAGAGTAAAAAAGACTACATTAAGTGGTAAGGATTGGTTTTATGTGCTATGTTGTTCCTTTAAAGGACTCCAAGCAGTTTGAGAGCCACAGAGATGGAGAGCAGAATGACTCCTAACAGCCCGATGTACCCGTACGCACCACGCATCCTCTTAACAGGATCTGAAACAGAGAAACAACACTGGTGATGAGGGATAAAACTCACATATTGTTTGAAAGAACCAGGGGTATTCAATTAAGACAATACTTTTTTAACAGTTATACATTTCCATCAGGGCAGCCGCAATTGCTTCGCTTGATAAAATGGCGCCAAATGGAACCAAGTCACACTGAAAATATACTGGTGTAACCTCCAAAAAGGAGGTTTCCTCTAAATAGAACTGATATTAATTTATGCTCTAACAGTCAGTTTTATTTAACTTTATTTTGGCATCTTGCAAACGTGTACAGAGATTCAAAATGCATGAATATACATGTCATTTAAATCTATAATTTAATGCACAAATAAAAGCTATGCTTTTCACATTTGTACTCGGATTCAGAAAGAGATCTAAATGTGCTTTTGCATTTGTGATAACTTCTGAGAATTGCAACAGGCTTCTATATGTGCATTGTAAAGACTTACCACCCGTGTAGTAACCCCAGGCATAAGAGAATCTGCTCGTAACCCAGATGACTCCTAACACCGAGGCAACTAGCTGATATGGGAGATAAAACATACAAGATAAAGAGAAGTGAACTGGGTGAGAGGGTTTTCATACAAGAGGAGGAGAGCACATGGAAATGGCTAAATTAACAGATATTTACAGTGCACTTCTTACACACTTCCTTCTGCTACCACCTTGATAAAGGTCAAGTGTTTTGATCAAAGGCACAATGATGATAGATTATATATATAAACCCTTGTGGGGTTTAAACAAACAACATTTCAGTTGCAAGCCCATTTTAGTGTGCATTTGAATAGGCTACCTTCACCTTCAGGTTAAACTGGAATTTGAATTGGAATAGCAGGAAGAGGAATTTCCTGAATTACGATTAAAAGAAATTTGATAAACCCACAAACAAATCTTTCAACAAAACATGATTCATTTAAACTAATTTGTTTTTTTTATTGCTCCAAACTGGGTTCAATACTGTCAACGCAATAACAGATTTAACAAAACGCCCACCAGAATGTTTGAGATGACATCAAAATTGGAGGTATTCCAGGGCATTCTGCAATATTAATGTTCTTCATAAATTCTTTAAAATGTATTAATGTATATATTTTTTAAATGCCATGTCATGTTTCAGGAAATACCCCATGTGCTATATGATAACATTTTTATAAGTAATTTAAACTGAACTCATTAAATGCTTTTTAAAAAAAAAAAAAATGTTTATATAAATATTAAATTTGTTTGAATTCCCATTCTAAATGACACACATCTGTGAACTCACCGGATACTCTAATGCAGCAATAGTCTGGAAGACCAGCCACTGTGGATACACCTCCAGTGTGTTCTGGTGCGCTCTCTGAATACAGTTGAAGACTGGCTCATTGTCACTGTACATGCTGGGATACTGTACACAAAACACGAGCGCAGAAAAACACATTAAACCAAAACATCTGCCATAAAAATGCATAAATCAGAAATCAACGTTAACTACGCAATCAGTATAATTTCGGCCAATCTAATAGAATGCATTGCATATGAAGCCTTATCGTACCTTTATCTTGTACTTCTTTCTTGCAGCACCAACTTTTAGCCCGAGATAGGATAACATGACAAAACTATAAATATATGTAAAAATAGCATAGCCAAAGTTGGCCGGAAGCACGTTCTCAACCGTCATCTTCAAATGCAATAGTCAGAACCGGTCTCCTCAAACGCAAGATATTCTCCTTTTATTTGTTGTGGAAAAAATGCTCTATCATGCAGTTCACGTAACTCTGAGTTATTTGTGTTAAAGGCGAGTGTGCCCTAGAGCACCAGGTAAATCTCGCGATAAAACGCGAGCTCTCAGCTCTCGAGAGACAATTTTATATAACGTTAATTGTGAATTTATTAAAAAAAAACACGACCACAACAACAACAACAACAACAACAACAACAACAACAAACACTATATATGAAAGTATTTCCTAATCACAGTCTTAAATGACTCAAGTGTGATTAAATAAATACTTAATGTGTTTTATGGATGTTTTCGGTCCACTATTCTGAAAGAGAAATAAACAAAAATCTCACTAAAGTACAAAATAAAATTTAAAAAATAAAATAAACAAAAACTTTAGCATGTCTATGGATTTCTCAAGTGCTGCTTCTCGAATTTTCCAAATCTCCGATGACGTCAGTGGGTTTCGTTTGAATAAAGAAACTGGTCTCTCTCTGCACACGAGCCACTTCACGCTGAACCACTCGCGAGAAATCATCTGCGGCTTTACAGCTATCCAGATCCTTTGTTTCGAAAAATTGCCCTTTCACTCAAAAGGAAACATACGAGGAAATAAACAATTGTTTATTTCACAGCTTTTTGTGTTAGGAGTTCAAAATTGTCTCCGTTTTCAACTTGTTCGAGGCGCGTATCGTGTGATTTAACGTTACCTAACGGTTTTCCTCAAAGATTCTTACTGTTGGATCAGGTCATTTTGACGGTAAGTTACAGTTCACTGTTTCTTATGGCATATCTATTTAATTAATGCTATTTATTCAAAGCACTTCAACAACAAAAACGTTATATAACGTTATCTACAGTCCCCGCCGAACAATGCGGTAAGAGTTCGTTAGATATTAGAAAGTGAACGGCTCATTATCGGAACAGATTGTTTAATATATATTGTGGGATTTGGATTCTGTTGAATTGATGTTTTTATAACGTTGGTTTTCAGTTTCTCGTTCGTACGGAAATTCCGGAATGTTCTAAATGCGAGATTGTGTGAGATTTGATTGACAGAAGGGGGCGGAGACATCACCTGACCTACTTTCAGTTCTGGAACATTCTCATTCGACGTTACTCGATGCTGATGTCTTAATTGTTATCGTCTTCAATTTTTTTTTATTAAGTAATGTCTTATATTATGATTTGAATATAGGTTTAACAAATATATCACCATACGACCCGGTTGATTAGTCACATTAAAACAATTATTTTGTATGATACTTTTTCTGAAGCAAGCATAAGGCAGTTAGTAATTTGCATACATTTCCAAAACAAATCCGAACATTAGATAGTCAGGTTCGCAAATCTTGTTTCATTTTGTTGAGTCGAATGGTTTTAGAGAGGCAATTTTGGAGACTTTATTTTTGTGATCTATCTTTTTTTCTTTAGTGATTTAAATTTTTATCAGACATTGCTGTCAATAGCCAGAAAAATATATATAAACTTTATTATTATTAGGAATAAATATTATATAAATAAACCAGGAAAATTATATTTGAACAAACCACTCTGTAAAAACCTTCATATATATGTGTGTGTGTGTATGCAATGCAAAGCAATGGATGCATTCATCACTGACCGTGAACTGATTGATTTAACTGTAAGTTAATGAGTAACGTCTAATCCTTTGTGTTTGTAGGTTTGATCATGAAGCAGGAAACCAGCCCACGGCGTGAGCGTGTGAAGTCCATCTTTGATCAGGAAGCTCCATCGGGTCGCAGCTCCTCCCGCTCCAGCGTCAGCAGCGACAGTGACAGCTCGTACTCCAGCAGCAGAGGAAGCCGTTCCTCTCGCAGGTCACGGAGCTCATCCTCCGACAGTGACTCTTCCTCACGCTCACGTTCTCGTTCCCGCTCCCGTTCCCGCTCTCATCCGCGCTGCTCGGGCCGCTCGCGCTGCCGCCACACACACCATTCTCCTCCTCGCCGCTACCGTGCTCGCTCTCGCTCATACAGCCCTACTCCCCGGGGTTCCTACCGCAGACGCTACCATCGCCGCAGTCCTTCTCCATCTCCCTACGGCTACTCCAGACGCTCCAGGCGTTCCCGGTCCCACTCTCGCAGCCGTTCTCCAGTCTACTGGAGGGGAAGTAGGTTTGTGGGGCGGTACAGGTGCCGTTTCTCCCGCTCACCCATTAACCCCAGAGCAAACAGAAGCCGGTCTCGCAGCCGTGAGCGCTCTTCCATCCGCCTTAGCCTGGAGGGTAAGATCAGCTTTACATCTTCTTGCAATATGCTACATATATACACACACACACACATGCACACAAATAAATGTGTATATATAATTAATTGGCATCCTAACATCTCCCACAGAGAAGAAGTATCTGTTGGATGTCGCCAAAGCAAATGCTGCCAGGATTCTGGGAGTGCAGAACTTAGAGCTGCCAGCAAGTCTGAAGGAGGAGGAGAAGAGGAGATCTTCATCTGATAAAGAGGAAAGGTTGAGGACTGACCTGGCACAGGTGAGCCTTACACACATGACTGCAGACGTGTGACTTAACACACACACAGAATTCTGTAATGTTGCATGAACGTCCTAAACGGCATTCCAGCAAATTTCTCCAGTAAGATTCTCATCTGTACTTTGTTAAATCTGATCTCGGGACGTTGAGTAACCCATTGAAACGCGTCTTTTTAAACTGTGATTGCGCGCTGTACTTACCCAACCTGGGTCACCATGTAATCTGTCTCCTCAGACATGAATGATTTTGCCTGATGGATTTAATGGAATGATGAACCGCTCATGTCCGGATTAGGTAACGGTACACGTTAAAGAGTATGTACTACTGTGTGCTTGAGTGAGTGTGTGTGTGTATGTGTGTGAATGAATGAGCTCATGGCTATTATTCCTCTCACTGTATTGAGAAGCTGTATTTAGCTTCAATTGCATTGTTTTTTGTATCGTTCCTGTAGAGCTGAAACTCCTCCACCCTTTGGACAATGAGGGATAGAGGGGGAGGTCACATGACTTGAATGACACCAGCTTTAAGTCTTTAATGCACGACTGCGGAGGTTAAGTAACTGTGTATGATGTCAGCGGTAGCCTTGTGTTGAACGAAAACAAGACCACATGCATTAGATTGACCTCACATAGAGCTGAGCCACTTTCAGCCACAACACATCTACAAAAAGTTTGTGGTCAGTAGAATGTTTTTTTTTCTTCTTTGAAGAAATTAATACTTTTAGGATGGATGCATTAAATTGATCAGTAGTGACAGTAAAGACATTTATAATGTTACAAAAGATTTCTAGCTCAAGTAATTGGTGTTCTTTTGAACGTTCTAATTCATCAAAGAATCTTGAAAAATGCAAAAAAGAAGCACAACATTGATAACCAACCTAATCATCACATGAATAAATTGCATTTTAAAGTATATTTAATATTATTATTTTTACTGTTTGTGTTTTTTATTTTAGTTATTTTTTTGTTATCAAAATAAAGAGACTTTTCAAAAACATTTTAAATCTTACGGACCACAAACTTTTGAACAGAAGTGTACTTTACAGCTATTAGAACTACAGGAAATGACTTATTTGTTGATGGTTGAACTGGGTTGTCATTTTCCAGAATCTTCCTCTGTTCACTGTGCGTGAAGACCAGACAGAGCTCATTCTACGGTGATGGATGGGGGTTTGGAAATATATACTCATCATTTAATCATTTTTTGGCTTTGTTCATGAGCAGCAAAAATACAAATTATTATTTTGACCAATTCAGAGCCGTTTAGTGGCTTGTATATCTTTTTTTTTTTTTTTTTTTACAAAGGCATTAATGTGTAAAATTTAACTTTCGTTTTTGTTTGCTTTTTGTTTTCATTAATTATATTATAATTTATTTATTCACATGAAGTGTGAGATACTGAATCACTTCACAGGCTGTGGATGCATGACTTTGTAAATCGTGATGCTGTAGGAGCATTAATTGTATTACTTGCAAAAAGACAGATTTATGAAACATTCATTGAAAATGGGTGCAGTGTGAACAAAGCCTTGTGTATAGATTTTAAGTTATGCTTTTAAAAATGTTATTGAAAATGTAAACCGGTGTTACGCCATGATGAATCATGTTTTTGATGTCAGACTGATTAGAAGGGCAGCACTGGCATTAGCCTCTTCAGTTTGCTGCTGTTGCATGACTTGAGCCCAGGGTGAACTGAAAACTGAAGTGAGGTTTATATCAAGACGACAGTGTGGTCAATATCCTTTTCCCTTTTTCTTTCTCTTTAGGTAAACGGTGTTACCACTGATGATGGTGAGGCAGAAACTTCTCAGACATCACCCAGGACAAAGCCAATTACCTTTAGCCTCAATGTAAGTTCATGAAACCTTGAAATTTGGATTCATTCATGAAAATTCAAGAAATTAGGATTGTTAGAACATACTGGAATATTGAAGTTGATCATACCTCTTTATATTCCCAGAATACAATTGCCAAACCTTCAAGCAGCCCGACGCTTCATGACAGTAAGGTAACATCAAGAGCCGACAGTGTGGCGGACAGGAAGCCATATGGACAGTGGGTCCCCTTCGGCAAATACTCTTCTAAAAAATAATAAACACTGAGATTCAGCAATGGTGTAAATAGACTGTAAATATTGTAAATAGTTTGTGTAGTGAACACTTGGGTCGGGGTGGGTCACTTGGGACTCATAAATTCATCATAAATGTTTTCTTTCAGATATAAAGTTGGTTTAATTGGAAGAAGGCAAGATGTCAAACAGGTGGGAAATATTGTGTACATATTGGTGTTTTTGTGTTGCACAGTGACTGTTTCTGAATAAAGATGGCAAAAAAAATCCTGTTGTGCACTTGTTTGTTTTTCTCCAGAAAGTATCAATTTCACCTTAGGTTATAAATGACTTTCCAATTTAGTTGAAAGTTACAGTTCAAAAACAACACCTGTAAAGTGGCATAAATACCTATATATCTCTTAAGGACGGACCACTAGATTAATATCACCTGGTAGTGTTTACCGAATTGCTCACTTGCTTTTAGATCCATAATAGATAAATGCAGGGTAAGTGACTTTGACAACTTAAAACATGTCTGGAGTCATTCTACACCAAAATTTAAGTGCATATTATACATGATCTATTGATGAGAACATTAATGCTATTTTTAGGCTTGATAATGATTTCAAGCACATTTTGAATGGCACACTTACTTTCTAAATTGTCAAAAATATATTCTGGTGTGAAATGTGACCTGCACATATTTTCGTAGGATTAACTCCCAATTAAACATTCATAGTATCTTAATGTTTGCAATATGAAGAGGGTATTTTGCTGGAAGAGAATGAGATCTAATCCATGAAAACAACCGGCTCTTCATATTCTGAACTCTGGGTGGCGCTGTTGCCCTTGCACAGCAGTTGTTGATGAGGCCTTCGCAGACATCGAATCATTGCAAGTTTTCCCCAAAAAATATTTACAGTAGTCATTACAAATCAGAATAACATTACATAATTGCTCATGAAATATGAGTAAAACAATGTTAGACTGTTCCCCCACACACAAATCAGTGCCGAACGATAGCTAAATATGCGTGACAGAAAACTAAATAAGTCAAAGCAAATCGAGCATCCAAACAACTTTCGGCAGTCGGCACAATTAAAACAATCTCCGCTTGGTGACACTAATAGCACAGAAAACAGGCCTGTTTTTTTATCCTTAAACTGACAAATCAACTCGTTCAATCAAACTGTCATTTGCTGGCACTGAAAGAGCAGCATCTGATGTGTGCCGACATGTTGTCTCGAGACCGAGGAATACTCCTCAACACAGTTAATGAGTTGGAATGTTCTCTCGCTCAATCCCACCCACACTCTTCCCTCCGGTGTTTGGTGGTTTTAATTAATGATTTTAGTCTGATAAATTGCGGTGTACGACGAATTCTATACACGATCCAGTAGCCTAGTTGTATTCAGCACACACAGTGTCTACAGAGAAGCTTGGTTTGGCACGAGCAAGTCAAAGTCTCCGTAGGCCTGTGTGTTTTAGCCAGAGAGCTCGTGCCAAAACGCCTATTGTTGTGCTGCTCTTTTCAACATGTTCACTCTTGACTATTATCACCTCTGAAGAAAGCCTGATGATTTTTGTGCAATTGCTTGAACTAAGGAGGGAGGATTGTAAATACCACACACCTTTTATCTTATGCCTAAACTGATAATGGTGATAAAAAGGTTTAGTTATTACCTCCTCCACGTCTCTTCTGCTCCCTAGATGTGAGCATATGCAGGTTTATATGAGCATGGCTGTTTACTCTCCACCCTAATGAAGAGATTATAAAACATTTCAGAAACTCACTGGGCTGGCGGTGATTATGTGACATTTGTTTGTACACGAATAAATTGAAGTCAGTGTTGTGTAACTCACCACAGAATCTGACGAAGCATGTTTTGGAGCACAAGAAGAGACAGTATCGTTCTGAAGGATCTTTTGTTTTTGCTGTGTGCTGATAAGATCGGAATGAAGCATCTCAGACATTCACTGACACACGGCGTTCCACGGGTGTCTAGCTAATATATATGCAAATGCAAGAAGAAAACGGGTTAGTTGGGAATACTTGAAATCGTCACTTGAGAAATGTGAATTTACATTTGAAGTCAATGTGGAGTCAAAATCAACACTTTCTGCTTTAGTTAAAGCACTTTAATGCTCTCATGATTCATCAGTGCACATTGTTCTTTTCTTTTCAGAAGTCACCAATCCCTCTTTCTTACTTTCAATCCCTTCCAATCACATGAACGCTTTCTTTCGTAAGGGCCACTTTTCCCAATCCAATCAATTCCTGATGGATACAATCAAGTCCTGAACTTTTTTTATTTCCTGTTTCACTTGTAAACACATTGTACCGTAAAGTAAAGTGGTCAGAAATGTGAACTCATTTCAGACTTAATACCTTACAGTATTAAAGTTTCGGGATTCACAATATATCATTATCACATTGTTTATTGAGTAATCCGTTTATTATTATTATTATATATTGTACTATTTATTTAATTGTAAAAGCTAATTTCCTCTATTTTTATATTTAGATCGTCTTTGCCATCCGTTTGGGATCCTCGTTAAGAGTCTTTAATGGTTTTGAATTTGATCACCAGTGCTGGATATTTTTTTTAAATTAAAAAATGCAGTAAAATATTACAATTTAAAATAACTACTTTGTATTTAAATATATTTAACTAATTGATCTCATCAAATTTTATTTCATTTTGATGAACGAGTTCGAACAGGAGAGTCACACAGAACAGAGCAAGGTGAGCATTTGAGCTTACAAAACTTAAACTTTGTTATTTATTTTTGAAATGAGTGATCATTTCGCTTGGTAAGGCCCTTATGCGTCGTCTGGAATCGTTTAAAGCCCTTTGAAGCTGCACTGAAACTCTCATTTGGACCTTGAACCGTTTGGACCCCATTGAAGTCCATTATACGGAGAAAATCCTGGAATGTTTTCATCAAAAACCTTAATTTATTTTCAACTGAAGAAAGAAAGACATGGACATCTTGGATGACATGGGGGTAAGTAAATTATCAGCAAAAGTTTTTTTTTTAAAGTAAACTACTCCTTTAATTGAGGAATACCAGGAACACTGAATTATTAAATTCATTTCTTGCAAAGATATAGAAAATGAAAACTCAAAGGGTTAATCATATTTTCAAAGCAGAATTGGCATTTGCCAGATAGGTTTGTTCTCCTCAGTACTGTCAGCAATGCAGATGATCCTACAGCTGTTCCTGCTCACAGATCAGATGTCCCTCTGCCTCAGGGATGGACACGGTAATTATGGATGAAGTAACAATCGCAATAAGGATCACTTGATAAGAGATGCGCTCAAATCAAAGGTGGGCAAATACAAAGATCCGACTCTTTTCTATTAACACAGATTTCCAGCTATTCCTCAGTCGTTCTAATGTGCACTTGCAGTTTGCCAACGGGAGACACCACAGGCCTCGAGTCTGGAAAGCCCTGGCACGGTCACAGAGGAGTCCTGATGAGCACAGAGAGAAATACAGTCGGGGGGAAAAAAAGGATATAAAGATGCCGATAAAGAAAGCCATTGTTCGCCACACACAAGATGCCTTTTCATTTCAGTTTGAGAAAAATGGTACATGTAAGCCCTCGCAGGCAAACTGTATTTGATGTTTAATTCGCTTTTTGTGATGCCACGGATGCCAGGCGGTTATTTGCGCTCATCACATGAGTGTAATCTTGCGGCGCCTACACACTGATTTTCTCCCGTAACATCCATCACACAAGTCCGCAAAGGAAACTCATTCAGTATCCATCAATCTCCGG